ATTCGCTGAATAATGCTTAATTAATAAAGCTGAAAATAACCACCTAAAGTTCCCAGTCAAAGCTTGGACTAATGGCGGTCATTATAACAAACCCTGGTGGTTGGTTCAAGCTAAATAATAGTTGTACAGAGTTACATCCCTTGGTTCCTCTATTTTTGGCTCGAATTTCAAGAGATGATTCTTTTGTCTCTCCTGAGACTCAACCAAGTTGGTTACCTTTCAGATGTATTATTGATGGCGTTCCTTCCATCGTGACACTGGCTGTCGTTGAACAACAGACCCAGAATATTACGCGCTTGAATCAGATTTACTGTCTCACGATAATATTGTTTCCAGTTCATGTCGCTGTGTCTCCTTCAGATATGCATGTCCGAGCAGTACATCACCACGAACGGCCTGGTCTTCTACGACATCGGCTGTAAACTGGCATCTGTGAGTACATCCGTAGTTCAATTGTACAGGAGCGGCCGTGAAAGACGTGAACTACATGTTTAAGAGCTTTTCTGTGAAAGAAGAAATAGTAGTTTGTACATATGCAAAGTACTTAATCCATCAGTGGGCATGACACGCCCACCGTTTCCCGAAGACCTAGTGTGGCAAAAAGGATCAACATCGAGAGAGAGAGAGAAAGAGAGAGAGAGAGAGACAGAGAGAGAGAGAGAGAGAGAGAGAGAGAGACAGACAGAGAGAGAGAGAGAGAGAGAGAGAGACAGAGAGAGAGAGAGAGAGAGAGAGAGAGAGAGAGAGAGAGAGAGAGAGAGAGAGAGAGAGAGAGAGAGAGAGAGAGAGAGAGAGAGAAAGCCAAAACATAGGAAATGTTTGTGTTTCGAGGGGGTTGGGGTGGATGTTTGCGACGTATCTGAAGAAGTAGCAATGGCGAAATACTACAAATATTTGGTCCAGTATTATAGACGCGACCCCAAGAGTTCAAATGACAAGCCGAGTAAGGACATACAAGTTCCATATCTATTCTTCACTATTGGAACAGTTCTGATTTATACCTCCCCTGTATGGTCGAGGAACTACTTTCTTGGCTGGCATCTTCAGATCTGTTCCACGGCCGGGTTCACGGTCAGTGCTGCGGAGATAGAACAACGGCGTGCAGGTCAGTCACAGACAACTGGTCAGCCCCCAACTGGGAGGAGGAAACGCCAGAGCATGGCTGTCCACGTCTGTGAGGAGTGCTGTGAAGACGACTTCTGTAACAACTTCCTCTGCGGTGGCCATGGTGAGTTCAACATACATTTACAGCTTCATTTTAAACCAAAACTAGTAAACCCAACAATATCAGTTATATATAATATCCTAATTTTGAAACTGAATCAACTTTTTAAATGGTAAACATTGTGCCATCTTCTTTAAACGATTGAGTAAGTCAAGCAACAACGTCGGGAAATATTACGACGCTATGTTCCCATCTACCACGACTATGCTCCACCACTTCACGTCGCGCGGCGGTGGGGTAGCCTAGTGGATAAAGCATTCGCTCGTCACGGTGACGACCCGGGTTCGATTCCACACATGGGTACAATGTGTGAAGCCCATTTCTGGTGTCCCCACCAGTGGTGCACTCAGTCACTCACTTCACGTCACAATGGCTGCAGTATGGGATTGTAGATGGCAGCTTCTACTCCACACGCCCTATTCGCTAGATTTGACTCCTAGTCATTGCTACAGGAACAAAACGCGGAAAAAGGAGAAGGACTGGTTGTCACATCATTGGACATTGAACTATTGCATTGAACTGTCATGGAGCTATATTGAAAACTAAGTAAAACTCACGACCAGAATTCAGTTCTATGTCTACTTTATTGTTTCCGATATTACTTCATTCGACCGTCCCCGTCTGGCAACAAAGGAGCCAGGGGTTCACCCAGCAGAAAATGGGTACCCGGTGGGATAAGTCATATGACTATTAACTTTCCATCATGCTGTATACGCTTAGAGCATGTCCCTGCAGTTTGGAGTTCAGCGCTATATAAGTAGCCATATTATTATTATTATTGCCTCGTGAAGATCCGGGTCAGAATATTGATCTTCAGTAACCCGTGCTTGTCGTAAGAGGCGACTAACGGGATCGGGTGGTCAGGCTGGCTGACTTGGTTGACACATGTCATCGGTTCCCAATTGCGCAGATCGATGCTCATGTTGTTGATCACTGGATTGTCTGGTCCAGACTCGATTATTTACAGACCGCCGCCATATAGCTGGAATATTGCTCAGTGTGGCGTAAAACTAAACTCACTCACTCACTCACTCACTCACTATTATTGCCTAAAACATTACATCTTTCACTGCATGTAACATCTTTAAAGTTATTCAATGACGGCTGACTTGCCGTTGCAGATGTGTCTGGGGGTGCCACCAATGGGACAGGCTATGCTCTTGCTTTCGCGAACACCTGGTGTCATCACTGCTTGACAGTGATTCATGAACACATGCTTATGTTTTAGTCGAAATCGTCCAATGGACTTTTAGAATATATTTATTATCATCATAGAAATGATTTTGCCGCTTTAGTTTACAAATCGCCAAAGAATATACGCACCATACATATTTTACAGAAACCCAACTTCTGAAGTGCGCTGGATGTGATGACTTGAGGGACATGTCGGAGTGTACCCAGATAGACGTATGTGAGCCCCATGAAGTAAGTACACAGTTTTAGAATATACTGTTTAGTTTGATTTGGTTAAAGCCCTTGCTTTTCACGTCGAAGACCTTGGTTCATTCAAATCATTGTACAAGGTGTGAAACATGTCACAAGTCGTGATATTTCTTGAATACTGTCCAGACTCACTCACTCTTTCTAGACTATACCTTTCAGGTATATGTGTGAACTACTTGTCAAACAAACCTTAACTGGGTCCGCTATGTTTACATGTGTACATGTATATTGTTACGGTTAATAATTTGCCGTGACAAAAGGTTTAAGAGTCCCCTTTGAACCAGCAAAATAGAACACATACAAATCTAAAATATTCAATAATATATTGAATAAACAATGAGCAAACTACAATGAATGACAATACAGATTTCTAGTACAATGCAGTTGAGTCACAAATCTAAAATATTGGGTCACAAATATAAGATATTAACTCACCAGAGTCTTGACATTTACAGTGAGAACAGATATACTGATTGTTTACAATGACAGCGGGCAAGCATAGGTCAGTCTTGAAATGTTGAGAAACACGACGATGGCAGACAGATGTGTATAAATCCAGTCATGTGAAATACCCGTCGCACAACTCAACAACCAGCCTTTATATAGCTCTTACACAGTTCTCGGGCATTCTAGCAAAGCTAAGCTCCATCATTATCCACTCAGAACGTTATCGAAAGCTCCACGGCGAGATCCGGAAGTCAACAAATACAAAAGATTGCCAAGGGAGGCAACTCCGATGCACTATCGAAAAGGCGTACCGCTAAAAATACTATTGCCATTGAACATATATGATGCGAGATGTGAGCCACAACCTACACTCAAAACTTTAAACATTGTGACCCATATAACTATCACTTAATCAATGTGATATTACAAAATACAAAAATACACTCTAATAACAATATATTACAGGTGTGTTTTATAGAAGAAAGGATCACGGACATGTTTGAGCTGCACTACACCGCTGGATGTGCGAGACAGAAGGTGAGTTGGAATCTGCTTTAATGATATAGCCAAGAGGTATCATGAGCCAACAAACACCGTGCAGAGTATCGTACCCGTAGTGGTACCCGTAGTCGTACCAGAAGCCACTGTTACCCCATTACTCTTCAGAACAGATGACGATTATGTCTGTTAAATCGATTTACTTGAAATCAACCAGATCCGGGTTAAAATTGCTCTTCAGTAACTCATGCTTGTAAAAAGGGACTAACGGGATCGGGTGGTCAGACTCGCTGACTTGGTTGACACGTTCCATCGTATCCCAGTTGCGTAGATTGATGCTCATGCTGTTGATGACTGGATTGTCTGGTCCAGACTCGATTATTTACAGACTGCAGCCATATAGCTGGAATATTGCTGAGTGTGGCGTTAAGCGACAAATATACACACATATGAAATCAACGAGGTAGATGTATGATCAACAATTTCTCTCATATATTTCCATCAGCAATGCGACTCCTTCAAGAACAACCAGCAGGGCATGTTTGACCCTTGCTTCAACTGCTGCAACTCAAGCTTCTGTAATGTCAACTGCACCACAGGTAAACATACCAACATGCTCCCACATGGCTAAACACCATACACTGAACGCTAGGTCACAGTCATGGTGTTATTCGTGGGTAAGTATGTGCGCGAGTTTGGTTCTAACAGTTTTACAGTCTCTAGTCAGCTTCCTGTGGGAAGAAGGGGTCGTCTCAGGCGTCAACCACTTTGGTGAGACCCACCAGCACGGGAATGGTGCTGACAATCCTAGAAATATAATCGGCGCGAACAGGGATTCGAACTCCCAGTCAAAGATTTCTGCTTAGCGAGTTAAGTGACTTCGACGATTTGGCCAACATTGCTGCTTTCAGTCACTCTTGCCGCAGGCCAGATAAATTAAAAAACAATTGTCTCTTTGAAACATTTCAGCGGACACCCCACAACACTACACAAATGATAAATTAAAAAACAATTGTCTCTTTGAAACATTTCAGCGGACACCCCACAACACTACACAATGGTGTTGAGAACTGCTGCCAGATAGTTATATACGAACTCTACCTCCATAAATCATGAACTTGTACTCATTTATGCCTATGGTCCACCGTGTTTTTGTATTGTCCACTGTATTTCAGTATGTAAAATATATGGTTTCTGAATATAAGTTATTCAGCCAACTTTACCACCAACCACACCAACATCCACGATAACTTCCACCACCACAATGACGAGCACAGTTACTACTACAACGTCCACAACCCCATCTACAACTCCAACAACTGCACCTACAACGACAACAACTGTACCTACAACGCCAACAACTCCATCTACAACGCCAACAACTGTATCTACAACGCCAACAACTGCACCTACAACGCCAACAACTGCACCTACAACGCCAACAACTGCACCTACAACGCCAACAACTGCACCTACAACGCCAACAACTGTATCTACAACTGTTTTCTTCATCGCCAACTACTGCATCCACAATGCCAACAAGTACTCCAACGACCACGTCAACACCGACTCCAAGCACAACCCCTGCTACCACAACCACACAGACAACGATGATCCCGTCAACAATCTGTCCTACATTCCCTCCTCTATCGAACGTTGGTGCACCTCAACTTCTCAACCATGCCCTCGTCAACCTGGGTGAGTATCTCAAGGTAACTCCGTCGTGATATTGCGGGGATGTTGCTAAAAGCGGCTAAAAACCATACCCTCTAACTCACTCACTACCTCTGTTTTCAAAACCGTTCTAAATGTAATTTCGAAAACTGGGCCGGACACTCAGGGTAAAAGATGAATTATTGACTGAGGAGAGGGAAGGGGGTGGTTCAAGATAATATATTATTATCATTAGCTGCTGAAATAGCTAGATGGGTTTTTTTTTGCAATCTTTCGTTTCACCATCCCGCAACGCTCTGATAACCTTTTTCTATCAGTCACTTAATACCACGAACAAACCAAATTGTTAACCCTTTGTTAAAGAACCTCTGCATCTTCCTTTATCTCCAGGATGTGGTGGAAAGGATGACATTGTGTTCCTAGTGGACAGTTCGACACATGTCCTCAGCTCTGAAGAACGTGTCTTTCAGCTCTTCACAAACGCATTCGTTGACTCTCTTCAAGTTGGTCCCCAGAAGGCCCGAGTTGGTTATGCCTACTACAATAGTCGGGTCAATGAAATCCTCCACCTGGACAGGGGATCTTATCTAGACAGCATTGACAGAATATTTTCGTCTCTTGAACATTATAGGACAGTGACCCAAGACAGAGCATATTTAGGGTCTGCTATAAACCATGTACTGGGAGATATGTATTCAGGGCGATATAGTCGTAGTGGCGCCAAGAGACACATTGTCATCCTGACCGGAAATGCAATAGATGACCTTAACCAGGCGGTGGCTGCTGCTGACAAAGCCAGGAGCCGAGGAATTGACGTGATTGTTGTTGCTGTAGGAAACATCAGGAACATTGAAACGCAGTTGCACAGGGTTTCCTCAAGCCCTTCCAGCCAGTATTTTCTGAATGTAAAGGATTTTAGTAGTCTTCAACCAGAGCTTGAAAGTTTGATCTTGAGCCATTGCAGAGGTGAGACCTGACAAAGAAGCTGAGTTCTCAGTTTTAATTCTTATTCTAGATATCAAAAGCATACAGGGGCGGTTTTGGTCTGGTGGTTATTTAAAGCGTTCGCTCGTTATGCGTGATGTAACGCCCTGGTTCGATTCAACATATAGGTACAATTTGTAAAGCCAATTTCTGGTGTCCCCGTCGTGATATTGCTGGCATATTGCTAAAAGCGGCGTAAAGCTAAACTCACACACCCAAAAGGATATATGCATAAGATTGTATTCTATGATGACCTCTGCTTTTCTTGACTACACTTCCCTAAATTTTTAGAAATGAAAATATATGTTTAGTGACTATCCTGGATTTCCTGAAAAACTAGTTTTTACAAAAGCGGGCTTGTCTGGTCCAGACTCAAATTGTTCACAGGCCGCTCTCATGTTGCAGTTACCAATTTACTGACATTATGCCAAAATATGAAAACCCAACAACCCCAAAACCTGGTTGGAAATAAACGTATGAGTCGCGGAAGTGCGCACTTTTAGTGTCCTCTCTAATCTTCTGCGATCCCTTCATATAGCTGTGTGAATCATTTTTAGCCCATTTCAGCAGATAGTCGACACTGATTACATGTATTTAACGCCAATATCAATAACAGTCACACCATAAACAAATCTTTTCTCTTAATACAACATATACATCTCCATCTTTTCATGACATGATTTCTTTTGTCCTGATAGTAAATGACAGCACTGATATTTTCTAGGAAATAATCCACTGCCAACTATAGCATCTGACCCCTGTGCTGGACCGAAACTCCTGAACTATTTAGGTAAGCATTATTTGGACCTGAATATTTACTTTCTTTGCCATTACACTTGAAATTAAATATGTTCTTCTTCTGCACGAATCACAAATAGACAACAGGAACATTTTTATGGATACACAACTTCTTTACTGCAATGGAGGCGACGTTTCGGTGTAGATGCTAACACCGTTATCAAGAAGTATTGCACAACATTATGGACCATATTAAAGGGATATATACATGAAGGATATGTAAGTTTATGCAATTAAAGAGGTTGATAGATGTATAGAGAATCTCACCCAAGTGTCTTCTGATATTAATTATATCAACACGAGTTGATAAAGTTACGAATATCCGAGGCTTGCCAAAATCACTCTTCATTAATTTTCAATGAAAAATGTACATCTTTGAACATGGTACTGTCATTAGACTTGCAGTGCAGCGATGTCATAGCATTGTGACGTCATCAAGTACATGACGTCATAGCATTGTCAGGGCATTGTACAAAATCTACTGTCAAAACGATATCTCCTAGCGATATCTCCTGTGGAACACAGTTTTGGATGATAAAGTAGTATCAACACTGAAACGTCGCATCCATGGCAATAAAGAAGATGTCTATCCATAACAAAATCGTTCCTGTTCATCATACCAGCTTCTGAATGCCACTCAAAGAAGTAGAGACACAATTAGACAGTCCCTTCACTTTGTCTTTCCCTTAACTTTGTCTTTCCCTTGACTTTGTCTTTCCCTTCACTTTATCTTTCCCTTAACGTTGTCTTTCACTTAAATTTGTCTTTCTCTTAACTTTGTCTTTCCCTTCACTTTGTCTTTCCCTTCACTTTGTCTTTCCCTTCACTTTGTCTTTTTCCCTTTAACTTTGTCTTTCCCTTAACTTTGTCTTTCCCTTCACTTTGTCTTTCCCTTCACTTTGTCTTTCCCTTAACTTTGTCTTTCCCTTAACTTTGTCTTTCCCTTAACTTTGTCTTTCCCTTCACTTTGTCTTTCCCTTCACTTTGTCTTTCCCTTCACTTTGTCTTTCCCTTCACTTTGTCTTTCCTTTAACTTTGTCTTTCCCTTCACTTTGTCTTTCCTTTAACTTTGTCTTTCCCTTCACTTTGTCTTTCCCTTCACTTTGTCTTTCACTTAACTTTGTATTTCCCTTAACTTTGTCTTTCCAGGTTGTGGGGCTCGGGAGGACATCACACTTATCTTGGACAGATCTGGAAGTATCCGTCGTACCGACTGGGCGAAGATGAATCAGTTCATTCAGCAGCTTGTGGGAAAGTTTGACGTTTCCCCACATGCATCAAGAATTGGCATGATGACATTCAACAGCATGTTGCTGGAGCTCATTCACTTTAAGGATTTCTCTGACAGGAATAGGCTGTTGAGTGATATCAACTACCAACTTTCCCGCTTGTATCCGACGGGTAACACCATGACACACCTGGCCCTGGAGAGGACTCTCCAGTGGTATAAACAAGACAGCAGTCCCGACGCCATCAAGGTGCGAATTACTAATTCTCAGAAGCTTACAGAAGTCAATGTAAAATACATTGAAATCTTTAAAATCTTTCAATCATTTGAAATCTTTAAAGGCTTGTCTCTATAGAGTAAAGGTAGTGGTTGTGTGCGTGTGTGCGTGCGTGTGCGTGCGCGCATGTGTGTGTGTGTGTCTGTGTCTGTGTCTATATTAAGGCTGGCCTAAGTCTTACTACAATTCAGGGTTCCATTCATCATGTGGATCAGGAACGTGTGATCTTAGGTTCGGATCCAAGTTTGCATTCATTACGTATTTCAGGTGGTCTAAGTCATCTCTTTATATTCATTGAATGTAACATAAAGGGAAATTGGTTGCTTGTCCCATCAAATGCAATGAATCATTGTAGTTTATTTACAAATGATTTATGTTTGACTTTGGTAAGGTCACTTCTCTTTTGTCACATGTTTTAACATAGGAGAATGTGAGCTAGAATTGTCATTATACCAGAGAGCAACGTGAATCAAAATCTCGGAATTTGACCTAAGGTCATGGCTGCTAAGGGATGCAACTCTGCCTCTGTACTTTTACTTTCTGAATCAATGACCAATCATATGTTTCGTATGACCAAGGTCGCTGTCATCTTCACTGACGGTAAATCGAGTTCAAAGTTCGACACGTTAGCCTCAGCCTTGGAACTTCAGAGGAATAATGTATCCATTTTCGTCGTTGGAATTGGAAGTAACATCGACCTGCAGGAACAAATGATCCTGGCGTCGGACCCGGATAGTGAACACATGTTGAACGTGCAGAGCTTTGATGGTCTTCTGCACTATATGCAATATTTGGCAGCTGTACGATGTCGTGGTAAGAACTGAAACATCTACGGGTGCATTTTCTTCTGATATCCTTTGATATACTGAGGGAAAAAAATAAGGGATCACATGAAAGAACAAGTGTTCCTTTATTTTTTCCCAGGTTTCTTCACAAACGTTGTATCGCATAGCTTGTGAAGAAACCTGAAAACAAATAAAGAAACACTTGTGCTTTCATGTGATCCCATATTTTTTTTCCTCAGTATATATGGAATATATGTCATTTCTACGATGTGATGTCGCTAAGAACTGAACGATCAATGGTGTCATTCCCTTCTTATGGACCTGTATGCTACGCTGACGTATTATCTGTGTACTGTACTAAAAAAATTGTTCTGTTCGTTTTCCATCTCCAAGTTGATTCTTCCGTATCACTGGTATGTTAGTCATTGCAATGGACGCCGTGCAGTCGTATGGTTATCCCTCTGAGAGACTGTTTTACGTAAATCAACAAAATGGATTTCTTTTATTTAACTTTAGAAGTAAATTTATATGATTCGTCAAAGGTTTAAACATGTTGTTGTGAAGAACCTGGATGATTTGATCACGTATCTTCAATTAGATAAGCTGTTGTCCATGGGTAGGGAGTGAGGTGGAATATGTCCATGTAGGAGTAGGTGAGTGGGTGCCTTGCTTGATGGCGTGTCACCGAACCCTGACGGTGTAGATCGTTGCTCATTATATCAATCATTGGATTGTCTGATCGAAACTCGCTTCTTTACTGGCCCCCGCTATATGGCTAGAATATCACTGAATGTGGCCTTCAGCAACAGGCACCTACATGAAAATCCATTCTTCTTGCTCTTCAGATCTCGCTAACCAATCCACAACGACTGTGAAACCGTCTTCTTCAACAAATCACAACAGGTTGACAAATAAATGAAAGAATTAATATAAAGTGTTTGTTATTATGTTATTTACAACCAGAATGCTGTCTCATGTTTGAGATTGTGGAAAAAACTTGCACTGAAACCTATGTCGACAACTAAGCATGTCACGTGTAACATAGGTTGCAGGTACGACAAGTAGTCAAATGTTTACATGTAAAAGACTTACATGTAGGAACGCGGACATCCGCCTCAATTAGTGTTATAACGGGTACCCGGGGCGGGGCGGGTAATAGGGGGTCGGGTACCCGGGTAGGAAATTTGGACCCGTCCCAGCCCTCTTCCACCACCACGGCGGGAGGTCATTACGTGGCATGACGTCTACTCCAGAGCAACCCTTTAACTGTCAGCATATAGTACTACAATATACAATACAATTCAATAACCAGTAGCATGAAGGGTCTTTGAATGTGTCCGCCAGGTTAACATTTGTGTTACAAAGAGAGCTTATTCATCTCTGGAAAAAACTTTTTTTCCGATTTCGAGCATGACGAGGGTCAATCGTGTAGCTATCAGTAATACTAAGTCTAAGGTTACTGACAAGAAGTAACAGAACACCGGATCCTATCATATGGCTGTAGTTACTCACACAGTGACGTAATATATAACACTGGAATGCCGAGGATGCCGTACGATGCATTTGGAACATTCGCTTTTCGGGTCTCGGAACGACACATCAGAGTCAGTATCCGGGTCTCCACAGTGTCCAATGGTCATCCTCAGCGTCACTGGATTTGAATACACAGTATCATTTCGGAAGAGGTCAAATACAACGTATTGTACATCTGGGATTACACTTCATCCGTAGTGTGTTCTTGTACATTTGGGGGTTGAGTGATAATGCAGGATTCGAACTCACACTCTCAGAGTAAGGGTGTGGGGTGTGGGTGTGGGTGTGGGTGTGGGTGTGGTCGAAGCAAGGCCTCTGGTTGGTTAGCGCTGCTAAATCTGCACATTCTTTATAAATTCTCGGGAATTTTTACTTTCATCGACTGCTTGACTTGGAAGAAATGTAAGAAAGCATCATTTGTAAATGTCTCCTTTACAAAGATCAACCAACCAGAGGGCTTGCTTCGACCACACTCCCGTTTTGTGCCGATATATCGTCATCCATTTGTGTCAAGATCGTTTAGTTGAGAGTCAAAATCGGGTTTCAATCGACTTGCAGAAATAACAATAATGAATTGGTAGGTGTCATGAGTGGTGCTCGATGGGCCAATCATCCATGATTATGTTTACATTAAGTTTTAATCGATTGTATGCGATGGTAGCGTAGCGATCGGCAAAGCAGTCGGGTAGGGTGCACCGAAGTGTCCGACCTTGTCATAATGTATTGTACTGTGAAGCATTTCGAGTCGGGAGTTATCTCAAATTTTTGAATATATTTTATAAAATCTTTAATCCTCGCAAAGACACGTGGTCATGTGTTGAAAACTGCTATGGAACTAGCCAGAGTTGAAGGTGGGGTCTTTCCTGAGGTCTTGCGTTAGACAAAATACAAGTGGTGTCATCTTATGTACCTCCAGGACAAGCCCGATAATAAGAATGATATAAAAGCAAGGAGTCCAGTTTGTGAGTAACTGCCTGGCAAGCATCGGGGCATGATTGTACCGTCTTTATATACTGGAAGGTAACGCCTGCTGTCTGTCCTTGCTAGCCACTGACCCCGCGCACATGTCTGAGGTAAAGTTGGCGTTGCCTGGCGACGCTGCCGGAGTAGGCCACTCTTCATAGAGACGTAGGGAGAACACCGTAGTGCTTCTTGGGTGAGGTCATCCATCTCTTGGTTGTAGATCGTTGTCATCTTCAATCCACTTGGAAGCCGTGGTGGCTCAGTGGGTTAGATCGATGACTTAGTGTGCTGGCGATTAGGTGCCTGAGTGTGGATTCCAGTCCTGGATGGGACTTAGGTTAAATAACCAAATGAAACTACAAGAATCTGTACTTTACAGAGAAACTGTAATTCCAAATATAATATATGTTAAATTTGACCACTTATGGCATTTGGTATTCATACCTTCATGAGGACGTCCATTATTCGAACCTCGGTATCCTTCGGTATAGTCACTGATGTCAGACACATGTTCTAGAAGGTCCTCTAGAGTGGGGCTCTTTCACTTACTATCCTTAATGGCATCTACCTGAGCTAAACAGCGTTCGAACCTCCACGGTATTTCTGTATCTGACACCATCATGCAGGACTTGATGACCACCTCGCTGTGAGTGGGCATGCTCAACTCGGCGAATATCTGTGAGGAATGTTGGTAGGGAATTCATTATCTATACAGTCAACTTCGATTGTAACGACTCTGAGGACCACTAGTTTTAGCTCGTTGTAACCGAAGTTTACTGAACATATTGGTTTATGCGATACAAGGTGCAAGGTGCAAAAGACATGTCACAGTAATTAACTACCGTTATAACGACTGACTGACTTTGGTTTTACACCGCTTTTAGCAATATTCCAGTAATATCACGGCGGGGGATACCAGATATGGGATTTACACATTCTACCCTTGTGGGGAATCAAACCCGGGTCTTCGGCGTGTCGAGCGAACGCTTTAACCACGAGGTTACCCCACCACCCCACGGTTAGTTCAGTATAACCATAGTTCGTTTTTCGCATTTCGACTAAAATAGACTGAAAGTGGCCCGGGGAAAACATTTCGTGATATCCGTCCGTTCGTTATAAGCGGGGGCGGTGGGGTAGTCTAGTGGTTAAAGCGTTGGCTCGTCGCGCCGAAGACCCAGGTTCGAATCCCCACATGGGTACAATGTGTGAAGCCCATTTCTGGTGTCCCCCGCCGTGATATTGCTGGAATATTGCTAAAAGTGGCGTAAAACCAAACTCAGTCAGTCAGTCAGTCGTTATAAGAGGGTTCGTTATAAACGTATTTTACTGTACTTAGACCTCATCTAATCTCGTTGTTGTGTTGGCAGTGAAGTATCGAAGCCAGTTCCACAGCTTTAGCCCAAGAAGATTTTCATCTTGATTGCAGGTTCTGAAAAATATGTTTATATATAGACACAAGGTAAATGCTCTGTTCCTCCTACCGTTGTGCCCCAATCCGTTAAAGATACCAACTTGTACCAAATATTACAACAATTTCAAGATAATTTTAACAAGCAAGGATTGGCTGACCTCTTGTTTGATAGTTTATCTTTGGGCTATGTAATTTAATGTAAAGAGCAGAACAAATTCTCTTCTTCCAAGCTTTGACCTACATGTAGGTTACGCTAAGGTGCTGGAAAATGGACAGCAGTTTGTTATTTTGTAAGTATTTTAACACACTTTCTAATCTGACAAAAATATGAAAGAATACTTTCTGACAATTAAAGACTGTTTAGCTCAAACTGAACTGTAATGGAGTCATATGGAAACATTTGCTTTGTCAGATATATAATTCTTTATCATCCACACTGATAAACACCTCACAGCTCAATGGTTTCCATGTTAACTTTATACAGGCTATGGAAGACATGATTGTCTCTAGGTAACATACAGGCTAGCACTGTTGTGTTCAACTACAGTTGTCTCGAAGTGGAATGGTATCCTGAATTTGGGCCTATATTTTCGCTTATGTAGAACTCGGGTAACTCGAAGTGTTAATTTTGGTTCCTTCACTTCGGCACGTGTACACTGTATATTATTTGTAACGTGCACGTCACAGTCGTGAGTGAGTTTAGTTTTGCGCCGCTTTTAGCAATATTCCAGCAATATCACGGCGGGGGACGCCAGAAATGGGCTTCACAAATTGTACCCATGCGGGAAATCGAACCCGGGTCTTCGGTGTGACGAGCGAACGCTTTAACCACTAGGCTACCCCACCGCCCCCATAGTCCTGAAATTAATTAGATTGTTTATGATATGGCAATACGAACACCAGGTAACATCAATGAGAAATTACAATATTTCATATGCATATTGCGTTTATGCAAACACAAGCCTGTATCATCTTACGCTAATATCTACATGCCCAAGGACACTTTCAGATATGACGTTAAGTGAAGTAATACACAATGACATGACGTAATACACAATGACATGACGTAATACACAGGCAATGTGAACCTGTGGAAGCTCATTTCTTACAAAAGAATTATCCACATGGTTATTTTAGCGTCTGGTTTTAGGACAATCGTAACACAATAGGCATTGTTGAGGTATAATGTAATCAGGTGAGTGAGTGAGTGAATTACTATTTAACGTCACGTCGGCAATATCTCAGCCATATCGTGACGAAATCAGGTGAGTGACGTTATGAACAACGGCTCGCGCCACCAGCATCAAATATACACCGGTCAACGAGACTGATTGCACAATGTATAAAGTCGCCTTTCACTTGCACATATTCCAGCCCCACATTACCACGGTGTACATTCGTATGTAGTGGAACCTGGACATCATGTGAAAACCCCTCTCCATCACCCAAGTCAACAATGCCTGTGTGTTTATATTGTCCTAAAACTAGACACTAACATAACAATCTTGATAATGCTTTTGTAAGAAATGAGCTTCCATAGGTACATGGATTTCTGTTTCAGTCGTTTTGGCTTTTGTCGGATTAGCTCAGCTTGCTGAAGGTAAGGTCACACATATATGTAAAACTGTAGTAAGGTAATATTCAGAGGAATGAATTAGTATAAAACTTCCAGTAAGCTAATAAGTGCTTGTCATTATAACTTTGTAAACAAACAAGAATCTGATAGGATTCAGCATGTCGGCCGTGATGCATGTTGACATGAATATGCTGTTCAGATGAAGGATGTCAACATCAACATGCTCTTAAGATGAAGCATGTCGACATGAATATGCTGTTTAGATGAAGCATGTCGACATAATTATGCTGTTAAGATGAAGCATGTCGACATGAATATGCTGTTCAGATGAAGTATGTCGACATGAATATGCTGTTCAGATGAAGCATGTCGACATGAATATGCTGTTTAGATGAAGCATGTCGACATGAATATGCTGTTCAGATGAAGGATGTCGACATGAATATGCTGTTCAGATGAAGCATGTCGACATGAATATGCTGTTTAGATGAAGCATGTCGACATGAATATGCTGTTCAGATGAAGCATGTCGACATGAATATGCTGTTCAGATGAAGCATGTCGACATAATTATGCTGTTTAGATGAAGCATGTCGACATGAATATGCTGTTCAGATGAAGCATGTCGACATGAATATGCTGTTCAGATGAAGCATGTCGACATGAATATGCTGTTCAGATGAAGCATGTCGACATGAATATGCTGTTCAGATGAAGCATGTCGACATGAATGTTATAATTATTCAGATTTGGCATGACAACATAAACACCTGTTCAGATTCATATGATATTCAGTTATAAAATGTCGGCATGAATAGCATTGAAATTTAGCCATCTTTCAGATAAAGCATGTAGCATGAACATGCAATTTAGAATATAACATGAATCTGGCAGTGAAAATGGTTCGGCTAGAAAGGAGCTGGTCGTTCAACTAAATGTATTACATCATTCGTTATAATAAGGTCAGAGCATTTCGGCATTTCTTTCTGTCTCACAGCTGTTAGGACACGTTGTGTTACATGTGCATTCCCAGCATGACACTAAAATTGTGACTCGGAATCACTCTGTGTGAAACAACCTACAAACAACAAATAGACGTGATATAATAAACGACTTAGACTGACATCTTGTCTCTGAAATGAACATAGTTTACAGAAAAAAAATACAGTTTCTAAATTATAATCATGAAACATAATGAAAAGGGGCCCAGAGACTCTCCCTGAAACTGTTGTAATCTAGACTTGCCACATATTCTAGAATTGCATTGGCTTTCTTGGATACATTTGTTTCTGGGTCTGTATGACAGACTATTAACAACTTTATTCTAATATTAACAAAGTTCACAAATCAATACAATTCCATACAAAGATATCACAATGGCAGTACAAAATAGAGCGGCAGTACATATCTAAAGGTAATATAATCCAAGAACAATGATTACAGCAATAAAGACATTGACAGCAATATTCACCTCTCAGCAACAGTTATCCAACAGGCCAAATTGGCCTAGACAGGGTATAATGATCACCATACACAATGCTGACCTTCTGGTGATGTCAGATGTCATGTGACGATGAAAGACAAGAGTTATCTGCCCTTATATATCTAGAGATGCTAGAATATTCTCCAAATCCCTGGGACAGAATCGCCCATGTCGGTGGTAGTACTCTGTAGTACCTTCCAGAACTCTGTCTAAATATAGCACAATTCTAAATATAGCACACCCTCGCCGAATAATGTGCAATGTACTACACTTGGGCCATTGTTACACAATGAATATCACTGCCACATAAAAGTAAAAACTACAGAAAAACTGTATTTACAATGTAGGATTACAATATGAATTTCCAGATCTGTGGGTGTTGGACACAAACCATTTGAAAAATGGTGAAAAAGACTCTGATTCCTGAACTCCCTCAAATGTTAAATCACATAAAGTGATTGGTCCACTTCTTTATGTGTTTTGACGAGGACTTGATGTTGCTAGGTGACCGAGTGCGATGCTTGGAGTGCAATAGAGTGACCAAACCACAAGACTGCACAAAAGATGTGATATGCGACGAGAGCGAGGTGAGATGGATACAAGAGTTATTCAAGCAAATTATATCATACAAACTTGGATTATGTTCACGGGGCCAAAACAACTTTCAATATCAAACTGTTCAGCCTTTCTATAAAATAAAGTTACCCGCGAAGACCCAGCAACTCCGCAGTCACCTTTTGAATGTCTGGGCTGGAATAATACAAACAAACAAACATTGAAAGTCATCTTCCAACTATTGTTTCAGATCTGTGTTTCTGAACAATACATCACAGATCTCGGGCACACTCTGTACGACATCGGCTGTAGGCTGACTTCTGTGAGTATTGTTGAAGCAGCGGGAAACACCACCATTGCCTCTCAAGGTGTCACAGGGTGTCATCCATCACTGTATAATGGCTCATTAGTAGGGGCCGGTCATCATTGTATTGTGACATGTCCTCGTATAAGATCTAAATCTGAAACCGTTGACAGGGCAGTTGAAATGTTGATGTAATCTTGTCCACCTTTGCGTGACTGAATAACATGTCTCATGTTATATAGATATTCAGGTACTGTGTGGTATTCCGACTGCTTATGAAAGGGCTGAGCTGTATATCAGTTTGAACTTGAAAGTCTTGAAAGTATGCCAGAGCTGGCAACTACGATCAGCTCATGTATGCCAGAGCTGACAACTACGATCAGCTCATGTATGCCAGAGCTGGCAACTACGATCAGCTCATGTATGCCAGAGCTGGCAACTACGATCAGCTCATGTATGCCAGAGCTGGCAACCACGATCAGCTCATGTATGCCAGAGCTGGCACAGTACGATCAGTTCATGTATGCCAGAGCTGGCAACTACGATCAGCTCATGTATGCCAGAGCTGGCAACCACGTTCAGCTCATGTATGCCAGAGCTGGCAACTACGATCAGCTCATGTATGCCAGAGCTGGCAACTACGATCAGCTCATGTATGTCTGAACAAGAAACTCCGATCAGCTCATATATGTCTGAACGGGAAACTCATGTATGTTCCATCCTTATGCTTTAGGTCAGTGCAGGTATTACGATAATTGTGCATTTATGGCTTTACTGTTGATATGTGTAACATGCTACAAAAGAATGGCGCCGATGTCGTCTTCAAACGACACTGTCACCAACCACACTGTCTCACCACAAGCCCAGTCTCACCACAATCCCACCGTTTCACCAAAACCCCACCGTCTCTCCACAAGCCCACTGTCTCACCACAACCCAACTCTTAACCACAACCCCACCGTCTCACCACAACCCCACCATCTCACCACAACCCCACCGTCTCACCACAACCCCACCATCTCACCACAACCCCACCGTCTCTCCACAAACCCACTGTCTCACCACAACCCAACTCTCACCACAACCCCACCGTCTCTCCACAACCCCACCACCTCACCACAACCCCACCGTCTCTCCACAAACACACTGTCTCACCACAACCCAACTCTCACCACAACCCCACCATCTCACCACAATCCCATCGTCTCACCACAAGCCCACCGTCTCTCCACAAGCCCACCGTCTCACCACAACCCCAGTCTCACCACAACCCCACCATCCTAACACACTGTCTCACCGCACACCCAATAATCTCCCCAGTCGTGTGCTGCAACTGGCTATAAGGGACGACAACACCAGTCTAACCAGATGCTGATTGGTCGGAAGCGGCAGAACATCGCTGCTCACCTGTGTATAGAGTGTTGTGATACAGACCTGTGCAACAAAAACCTGTGTGGGGGAACAGGTAACATACATTTAATCAGTGCTCTGAAACAACACATTTGATGTCATACCTGCCAACAGTATATAGGCTACTGAGCAGGGACTCATCTGTGGTGGTGAAGTTAATATAAAAGAAGATATGCAGTAAACAAAAACATGATTTTTTTATAAAGTAAGTTTTTAATTTAAAAAAAAACCCCACAAAAGTATGATGAAAGAAACAATTCTAAAGGCAATATGTGTAACAAAAACTTCTAGAAACTACCGAGAGTTAGTGTGCAGAGCAATCACGTGACCTGACGTCAGACGTCCTGCTTGTCATAAGAGAGGACTAAATGGATCTTGAAGTCAGACCCGGTGACTCAATAATATCAATCACTGGCTCGTATGGTTCAAACCTGATTGTTTACAGACTGTAATGACGCTGGCATATTGCTGCATGCGGCATAATACAACAAAACGAAAAAATATTTACTGCAAATTGTGAAAATTGTTTAAAATTTCGTATTGGATATGTTTGTATTAATAGTAATTACTCTGCTTAAAATATTAGAAATATAATACTTTTTCTACTTTCTGCCAGATAACGGGAGACTGGAATGCGTCCACTGCTCGGGTCTGCAGAACATGACCTACTGTACACAGCTGGAAATCTGTGAATCAAACGAGGTAAACGACCTTTGTAATTGCTTACTGATATAAAACACGTGACTATAAATCTATTCTTTCTATATTTCATATCCAAATATTGTACAGGAAATTCATAGAAACGCTTTCACCCCGTTAGAATCGATCTTCAACAACCCATGTTTGTCGTAAGAGGCGACTAACGGGATCGGGTGGTCAGTCTCGCTGACTTGGTTGACACATGTCATCGTATCTCAAATTGTGTAGATCGATGTTCAATCACTTGATTGTCTGGTCCAGAATCAATTTGTTTAACTACCGTCACAGCTGGAATATTGCTGAATGCGGCGTTCCACAACAACCAAACAAAGGAAGAAAATAAAGAAATGTTCTTTTTTAAAGTTTCTCAAACTGGTTGAAATGAAACTTAAATTCATAAGATGATTTCATATTCGTTAGAATTATTTATATATCATATTACAACCTTGTTTCAACCTTACATGACTCTACTTTCAATCGACCCGTGAAGATCCGGGTTAGAATTGATCTTCAGTAACCCGTGCTTGTCGTAAAAGGCGACTAACGGGATCGGGTGGTCAGGCTCGCTGACTTGGTTGACTTGGTTGACATGTCATCGGTTCCCAATTGCGCAGATCGATCTCAAGATCTCAAGAGCGACGTTAAACCCAATTTCACCTCACCTCACCTCACCTCACCTTGATGTTTCTGTCCCAGGTGTGTTACATCGAGAAGAAGATCACAGACACCTACGGGCAGCAGTATACGGCAGGCTGCGTTAAGAGGACGGTACGGCCATTCAGTCAGAAACTTATTTCTGATTGTTTTCAATTCTTTTTAGCTTTACCTGTTTATATGATCATTTTTTAACAATCAAACATGAAAGTGAAAGTTGAAATAGCTTCATTCTACTTGTTAGAAATATTCACTGTCTCAATAATTTCACATTTCCTAAAACAGGTCAAACTGGTATGCATTCAAGGCCTTTTTAAGGCTTATGAAGCCTTTTGTTTTTTCAAGACCTTTTTAGTTTCACTGTTAGCCTTAATCATCACTTTCATATGAAATCCAATAGGGCTGCGCAATATAGCCGGTTTACCGGTATTTACCGGTTCAGACATGAAAACGATGCGTATTGCGATACGCTGATTGAAATCCGGTAGTTTGACATGCATTCGAAAATTTTTGTAACTCTCGGAAATCTTCGGATATTTCCGTTTTTCACACCGGAGGTCATGCGTTTGTTGTAAAATGGCGACCCCCAACAAAGAACAATTTATTGTGGTGCCAAATACTAGGGCAAAGGCTTCAGTATGGCAGCATTTTGGGTTGAAAAAGTTCACGGTAGATGGAACTATTGACAAGAGGCAACTAACGGGATCGGGTGGTAAGGCTCGCTGACTTGGTTGACACATGTCATCGGTTCCCAATTGCGCAGATCGATGCCTATGCTGTTGAACACTGGATTGTCTGGTCCAGACTCGATTATTTACAGACCGCCGCAATATAGCTGGAATATTGCTGAGTGCGACGTAAAACTAAACTCACTCACTCACTAATACGTGAATAGCCATGGGATCAGTGGCTCTATACACTGACACAACATCAGGCAATGGTAGCATTTGCAAAAGTTATAAGGCGTTATATAAGTTATTGTACCGTGTTCTGTTTATTGCTATATTTGACTGATACATCTACACATCATCACCAGCGGTCATTGAATTTCACAGGTGCCCGTGTGATTATGATGATGCTTCGCCATAGCATAATTCAAGCAATATATTCTTCAGCAATGTGAAGCAAAACAAGTCTCTAAGCGACAGTATGACAACGTGGTGGACCTTTGCTTCAACTGCTGCAATACGTCGGTCTGCAACATCGAATGTCATAGAGGTAATGCTACCTATTTCTTGTAGAATATATTCTTGTGCTAGCCTTCAGAATACTTTGATTGTGATATGGCCAAATCCATCTTTTTTCTCCCATCCGGAAATGTCTGAATCAGAGCACGAGGAAAGTTGTGCGGGGTGGCCACGTGTCGACAGTGAGTGTCATGGCAACCTGGATTGGTATCATTGTGGCCGTGAAATCAGCATGACCACGTATCGTGAATCTCGTTGCTTCGGGACTTGCTATTTTCTCGACTGCGAGTTTGCGATAGGTGCATCGCTCTTGGTTAAAACATATTTTTATTATCAAAGAAATCTGGACCAGTAAGAAAGCAAAACTTGCTTATGCACATACTAGGGTGGTAACAATGCACCGTACTACCGATGGATTGCAATTGTTGAGTCTCCGATAGCAATTAATCGATGGTAGAAACGAAAAACTATCGATGCATCGATAGTATGTGTGACTATCGATAGTTTTAGTAATTGACTTCCGTTGATAATTGCGCCGCGCAAAATACAGGAAGTACCAGATTGGTTCACTTTATTTTAGAGTTATCCGCCCCTGTTACCTCTTAAACGAACTTATATGGGTTTCAAGTTTCTTGTCAGTTATTAAAAGAGGCTAAAACTAATTCAGCTTTTTTTGTTTCATATAAAGTATACATTCATTTGGGAAATGAGTTTAAATGAGACAATTCAAGGAGAAAAAAAATATTGGAATTGTTGGCCGCAATAGTATATTGCAACAGACTATCGCTATCGCAATAGTTGTTTACCCCTCAATATTCACCCCTTGTAAATACCTCTCCAGGTAATCAGTTGACACAGCTGGTTAGTACTCATTGTTTAAGATAGTGCTAAACATACGGTACAATTTCACAAATGGAACATATAAAGTATTTTGAAGTCAGTGGTATCTGTGGAAAAACATATTTATGCAGTTCTCCTTCAATGTGTTTACGGTTGATTGTTTTCCCCGAACATAAAGCCAATGGTCGAAAAAATAATCGCTCTTCATCATCAGGATTTTGTAACTATCTACAAATAAGGTGATTCTTATATCTGATGTTCAGCATATGTGCTGTGATATAGCACCCGATACCTGAAAGTTTAAAGTTTGTACATTAAGTGAGTGAGTGAGTGAGTTTGGTTTTACGCCGCTTTTAGCAATATTCCAGCAATATCACGGCGGGGGACACCAGAAATGAGCTTCACACAATGTACCCATGTGGGGATTCGAACCCGGGTCTTCGGCGTGACGAGCGAACGCTTTAACCACTAAGCCACCCCGACGCCCTTGTACATTAAAATACTTCATAGTTCATAAGATACTTTTACAACTCACATAACAAATATATGATCAAACATCGTTCGGATTTGTCCCACTGCCATTTTTTATGAGGGGCGGTGGGGTAGTCCAGTGGTTAATGTGTTCGCTCGTCACGCTGAAGACCCGGGTTCGATTCCCCACATGGGTACAATGTGTAAAGCCCATTTCTGGTGCCCCCCGCCGTGATATTGCTGGAATATAGCGGCGTAAAACTAAACTGACTACACTGATTATCCCCCTTGTGATAAAAATAAAAGAAACCAGCCAACCATGACAGTTACGGTGACTGAGGTGAAGACACCAGACATCTGTTTGTACAGCTGATATGGACAGTCATAATTTTGCTTTCAGATAAACGTGTTTTGAAGACTTTGCCACGGTAGAACATTGTTTTAGTAGCTCCTTATCAAATTCATTGTGTGTTTTTTAAAGGACATCATTAAACACCCGTTCAGAAATTATAGAAAGCGTTTTCTTTTAAACTTTCACATCTGTGAAACTGACAGATATTTGCGAACGGTTATCTCTTTGACTCTGGCTATTGTCTGGATGCCATTACTTGGACAAAGTGTCCTTTGAAATAGTTCAGACTGAAAAGCCAACTGTTTGTCTTTGCGAGGATTAAAGATTAAAAATCTTTCTTTGAGACGACCCCCGACTAGAAATGCTTCACAGTACAATAAATCATGATCAATTTTATTGTACCGTGAAGCATTTCGAGTCGGGGGTCGTCTCAGTTTTTTAACATCTTTATTTCCCGCGAAGACACGAGCGCCTGTGCATAGAATATGTTTATGTAGCTTTTCATACGGCACCCAGAATTATGACAAAGCTGTGAAGTCACCAATCAGCAAACATACCATTGCCTGGATATATGGAGGCATTGGGATTTGATAGTATGAACTATTTGTCAAAATAGCCTCAAGCTTGACATAGTGTCATGGTGGAAACGCACATTCCCAGCTAATCACGCCCATTCAACCTGGCGCAGTCGGTGGTTCGCGAGACAGAACCGTTGCCACCTCCTTGGAATCATTAAAAGGTTGTCATATTTCGTGACCTTTTACTCTAGGCTGTCGTACAGACCCTGAAGCATATATATCCAAGAAAGCCCACGCAAGTCTAGAAAATGTGGCAAGTCTAGATTTCCTCAGCTTCTGAAAATGAAGAAAGTCTCAGGGCTCCTTTTCATTATATATATATATATATATTTTTATATGAACCTCTTTCAGTAAAATATGTTCATTTCAGAGACTAGTTGTTAGTCTACTCTTAGGTTAGAATTAATGTTTGAAATAAGCAAGAGAAATGCGATATGTGTTAACCGAAAAGCAACAATAGGTTAGATTTTGAATGAAATACATTTTCAACGAATACTCATTTAGATAGACAGTATGGTTCAGACGGAATAAGAGCGGTAACAAAGCATAACTCAACATACATGTATTTTAGATGATACCCAGGACCTAACTGTTAAACTGACTGACTGAATTGGCATATTAACCTGTAATTCCACGTCAGATTGACAACATGGAGTGCCACAAATGTTACTCAGAGTGAGTGAGTGAGTATAGTTTTACGTCGCTTTTAGCAATATTCCAGCAATATCACGGCGGTGGAGACCAGAAAGGGGCTTCACACATTGTACCCATGTGGGGAATCGAACCCGGGTCTTCGGGATGACCACTTTAACCACTATGCTACCCCTGTTACTCAGAATGTTCTACGACGAAACAGTTCATGTATAACGTTGTTTTGAACACCATGAATAAATAATATCTTACGAAAAAATACAGACCTACCCTCAAACAGTGGCAAATATGCAGGCAGCATGTAAATCTCTTTACTGAAAAAAATCTCATTTCAAGTTTTCTTGTTAGAAACATGTTTAGTGTACCCTTTAAGTCGATTTCTATCGTGTTTTCTGTTCAAAATGTCTCATCTCACACACTGACCATTTTAAGCAGCGTAGCATATGGTACCGACATTTGCTATCATCATTACGTGAAAGAAAACACAAAGACGATAACCTTATATTTCAGTGAATATACGTTTTTGAATATACCAATCAGAACATAGTATTTATCTAAATTCAGACAACAGAGTTTTGGTGCAGGTTTGCTATCAATATTCACCATTGCAGCTGCAACACCAGCAGTAACAACAACGTTAACGACAACTGCTACTTCTACCCAAACTACAGCAACTACGCCAACTACAACAGCGCCTACTACAACCACTCCCACAACGTCTAAGTCAACCCATACGCCAAGGCCTACGTCCAAGGTTACCCATACGCCAAGGTCTACGTCCAAGGCTACCCATACGCCAAGGCCTACGTCCAAGGTTACCCATACGCCAAGGCCTACGTCAAAGGCTACCCATACGCCAAGGCCTACGTCCAAGGTTACCCATACTCCTAGGCCTACGTCAAAGGCTACTCATACGCCAAGGCCTACGTCTACGTCTACTGCTAAGACGTCGCCTATGCCGTCAACCATCTGCCCAACGTTCCCGCCACTAGCAACAATACAACCTCCCAAGATCCTGAACAACGTCCTTGCGTCACTTGGTAAGAAGACCCTTAGAGCATATCCTAAGAACATATGCTAAGAGCAGGTATTCAGATGATTTACTAAGACCAGGGCCCACTTACTCAAAGTGATCTAAGCCCTTCCTCCACATTCAAACATAGGCATAAGCTCGTCGTAGCGGTAGCGCTTTGTGCAGGTGGGCCAAGGTATTCAGATCATGTACAAATAGCAGACACCAAGAACACATAATAAGAGCATCAGCAAAGTCCAAATATTAACAACAGGCATTTATAGCATATACTAAGGGTTTACACTAAAGGTGTGCACTATGAGATCATACTAACAGCGCCATCTAACTAATACTTTGAGCAGTCCTTAAGTACACGTACTAGGGGTACGAGGGGCGTTCCAAAAGTAGTCAACCTCATCTAGAAAATGATACGGATGCAGCTGTATTTATGTTTTGTTTTTCTATATATTATCTGTCAACATCAGTCCAACCCCCCCCAAAAAAAACAAAGAAAAAAAAAAAAGGCAAAATAAAAACAACACCCCCCAAAAAAACAACAACAAACAAACAAACAACTACAACAACAAACAAACAAAAACAACAAAAACGCAAAATCTGAAATAAAGGCAACACAAACGTCATGAAACAAAATATGCAAGAAACATTTTGCGTGTTTGAGATAGGCAGAAGTCTGCTAGAATCAAACTAAGATGTTAAAGTAAATAAACAAACAATTTGAAACTACAATCGCTTGTTAAAAGTGACTACCCCTTTCATTTTTACTGAAAGAGCTTGCTTTGGAGACACTACCCCTACCCCTACCCCTTTCAGATGACGTAATCATCAGGACATAACATATTCTAATGTTTTCACTTGCTCATACATGATGCCAAGGGATCAAACTGAATACTGAATGGTCACACAAGTGTCAATATATTGTAAACAGTGCCGGCTTGAATATCTGGACACAATGTGTTTTAAAGATTAAAATGGGTGTGTCCCTAAAAAAACCCCGTCTAATTATAAATCAAGCAATTCAATTCTTTGATTGTTGATTATGACGGGAAGTCATCCAATACTATACTGAACCAGGGAGAATAATATCCCTGACTGAACATATTTTATATGATATTATCTGAGGGCATACCATTATCCAAGAGGTACAAACTGTCAGATCGCTTTTCATTTTCTGCAATTTTTAAAGAAATATTATACCCCAATGTGTTGTGATGACTAATATCTCGTTAACCACATTAACCACATATGTGACATTTTGGATATGGCTTTACTAATCATTCCTTCAAAATAAAAGGGAAACTTTACAAACATTGGACAACGAGAATATAGTTAGACTGACTTTTTTGAACGTCCCTCGTAGTAACTTCATCAACTAACAAATACTTCGAACATTCCCTAAGTACACGTACTAGGAGCATCAACCAGGGAGACTATATAAGTGTAGAGTATCCCTGCATCAACAAAGAGCAAATATTAACAACAAACATTTATAGCATATACTAAGAGCTTACACTAAAGGCATACACTAAGAGATCACACTAACCGCGCCATCTAACAAATACTTCGAGCATTCATTAAGTGCACACTCTGTGGGTAAATCCTGTACTGACTCTCTCTAATGTCTTCAAAGGATGCAGTGGAAAGAATGATGTCGTGCTGCTGGTGGACAACTCGCACTCCGTCCAGGACGAGGACGCGCACCACTTCGAAATGTTTGCCAGAGTGTTGTCAGCCACCTTAGATATTAGCCCGGATAAGACCCGGCTGGGCTACACGTATTTTGGTCAAAATATCTCGGACCTTATCCATTTGAAATTTGGTGGTAACCGGGACAATTTCTACAATCGTCTTGCTCACGCAGAAGCGAGATATGGTACTTCAGGTGGGAAAGCATCTCTTGGGGAAGGACTTCGACACATCGACAGAGTCGTGTTTTCGCCAAGAAACGAAAGGCAAGGCGCAAAGAAGTACCTTGTGATACTGACGAAAGATGACTTACATGACATGCAGACTGCATTGTCAGAAGCTACTGCACTGAAGAACAGAGGAGTGGAGATAGTCCTCATTGGAATTGGGGATTTTATAGGTTTGACTGGAGACCTGGAAAAGATAGTGACGAGTCCACACAAGACTCACATGATCATTGACGATTCCGTTGACGACCTTCAATATTCCCTGGAGGATATCTTCGTGAGTCGTTGCCGAGGTGAGTGAGAGAGTAAACGATAAGACGCCATAATCTAACCATTAATATCACCCATAGGTTCATCAATGTATATAGTTAGAAATTCTCTCTGAGCACTGTAATGTTTTGCGATATATGAAAGTCTTCTCGCAATATTTCGAACTGAATATTGATCTTGGTTTGTAAAATCTGAAGTAAACGTATTTTCTGCAGCCGTCTTTAGAAGAAAATACTTTTTTCTTATAAAACCTCCAATACAGAATATCGGTCAATATCGGTCAATAACATTAACATTGCAGTCTCTACATGACGTAGTGTATCCCAATTCCAGGTCATACACCAACCGTGGCTCCAGATCCATGTGGCGGGCCCAAGCTTCTCAACTACCTTGGTAAACAGTAGTGTTCGAGTAGAGGTTACCTGAAACGTAGAACAACCTTGAGATACCAACTGACACATGACATCATTTAACTTCTTTAAGTAGAGTCTACTACGCCTATTACGAACTTACGGATATATCGAACTGTTTTTTCGGGCCACGTGCTGTATATTTTAGTCGAAATGCTTATAACAATTATTACGAACTAAAAGTTGTAATTCCTTGCGCAGTATAGTAGCGTAATATACTAACCCACGGGCAAAAGAAACGATACCAAGTCGAAATGACTGTTATTACAAAACGACAAATCACCATTGTGAAAAAGGACAGTGTATTATATTAACAGGTGTATGGGCAACACTCACTCAGTCATTTCATTGGAGTAGCAACAGTAACACGTCCATTGAGTCACTGTATAAATGAAGGAATCAAGTGTCCAGTATTCGATCAAACATGTAAACAAAACAACACACGTGGTCAGTATTTGGTATGTCCACCGTGGCCATCAATGCAAGCCCTAACTCTACGATGTGCTGAGAACGTCAGACGCCGTATACCTTGGGCAGGGATTCTTCGCCATTCCTCTTGGACGTCGGTTTTCAGGAACATCAGCTCTAGCACGAATCTGACGATCCAAATGGTCCCACAAGTGTTCAATTGGTGACATGTCAGGTGACCTGGAGGGACAAGGAAGCACATTGACAGTCTCTCTGTAGAAACTCCATGACAATATGTGCTGTATGAGGACGGGCGTTGTCCTGTTGGAACATGGTCCAGTAGGAATGGTAGCAGAATCGGACACGGAATTTGATGAATGTATCGTTGACCAGTGAGATTACCATCCACCACAACAAGGTCTGTCTTCATACCGTCACATATGTCGCCCCAAACCTTGACACCGTTTCCACCAAACGGTTCCACCTCCTCTACACAGCAACGTTGCACACATTCTCCACGGCGTCTGTAGACACGAGTCCTGCCATCATTCCTGAACAGCTGGACCCTGCTTTCGTCTGAGAAGATCACTCTCTGCCAATGTCTGTTTTGCCACTGGAGAGCCATGCGTGCCCATCGAAAACGTTGACGTCGATGTTGAACGTCAGCCGTACACCACGGTAGGGTACGGATACCGTATTGTCTGAGTCGTCGTGCTGCTGTTCGTCGACTGATAGGATGTCCAAGCCCAGTCGCTGCTGATGACGTAACAGATAGGAAACGGTTTCTCTTCTTTGGGGGGTGGTGACGCGAGGTCTTCCACTTCTGGGCCTGTCTGCTGTCCGCCTTGTTTGCCTGTAGGGGGTCATCAGCCTCGTGGTGGTTAGACGTGTGCAGTCCAAGGTCGCTGCAACATGTACCATTCCAATGGCTCTCTCTCTGTGGATTCCTGCGACAATCGGGGCATGGTCGCTGAAGTTGACTTGAAGGTCTGATGTCATCGAAGGTTTGTGTGCACTCTTATATCCCAAAGATGCACGTGCTTCATGCAATCTGTTTACGCGAATTTCGTGCTTCACGACCTGTTGCAGTGATACTGTTCGCCCAAACACAACATATTTCATGACAAATGATATTGAAGCGTTGTGGCGATGGTTTTCCTACAAAATTGAGTTCGAGTCCAAATTATCAAATTAATTTTGGTATCGTTTCTTTTGCCAGTTAGTGTTATTTATTATTACAAGATATTTATATAGCGCACTCGATCATTGGATGTCAATCTCAAACGGCACATCGTATTATCAGTCTAACTCCCTGGGGAGTATACAACTCCTGCAGCCACAACACTGCAGTGTTATATTCAGTTAAAGTGGCCACCCTTCACATCTACATATTATGGTACTTCACTAGTGTGTCATACAGGCCCTGAAGCGAATATACCCAATGCAGCCCATGCAAGTCTAGAATGTGTGGCAAGTCTAGATTACCACAGTTTCGGGAAATGAAGAAAGTTTCTGGGCTCTCTTTTATTGTACTTTATTTCCAAAACCTTTCTTCTGTAAAATATGTTAATTTCAGGAACTAGCTGTAAGTCTTGGTACTTGTAGTGTGTGTAGATAAATTAGATATTGTATTCATAAATGGCAAGAAAATGTGACAATATTCTATGTCTATATATTCTATATAACTGGAACTTATCTCGCCTTTTCAAAGTAAAAAATACAGGTGAATACACAGTGCCATTTAAAAGGTGATCAAATGTAACAAATGTTATATTTGGGATTATAGTCTCTCAGTAAAGTACAGATTCTAGTACTTTTGTTGGGTTGAGTCCCATCCGGGATTCGAACCAACACCCTCAGAGTCAGACACCTGATCGCCAGCACACAAGGTCAGTCGCCTAACCAACTCAGCCACCGCTAGTAGGAGCCGTGGTGGCGGAGTTAGTTAGGCGGCGGACTTTGGACTAAACACAACAATAGTACTACAATCTGTACTTGACTAACAAAGAGTAATCCCAAATATAACATTTATTGAACAATCCCAAATATAACATTTATTGAACATACAGATATTGCAATCTTCAGATAACACGGTGTCAGTGTTTGTCCATGGCGGCGCTTCTTGTGAGTGTGTTTGTTCAAAGGTTGTGGAGCCAAAGAGGACATCGTACTGATCCTAGACCATTCTGGCAGCATCACTGAAACTGACTGGAAGAAGATGGTGGAGTTTACTCACAAGTTGGTGGACAACTTCAACGTAGCCCACGACGCATCAGACATCGGCGTGATGACCTTCAACGACAAACTAACGGAGATCGTCCCCCTTCACGCTTACAGCGACAAAGCCAGTCTGTTGCATGCTATGGATACAGGGTTAAATAGGGTCCTGGTACATGGAGACACTTTTACCAATCTGGCTTTAAACCAAACTCTCCATTGGTTTCATAGGGACAAGAGACATGACGCTATAAAGGTAATTTAAAGTCAAGGGTAATTTTACAAACCTTTTTAGCACCAGGATTACACCCATACTTTAAAGGCACTATTTCACACCACATTGGCCATATAATTACGTATTTCGATTACAACATTAAATTAAAAAGATCGAGTGAATTATTGCAACGTTGCATTAAATCGACTCTCGCCCCCTCTGCCGGCCGAACATTACTTCAAGCGAATCCCATAGAGTTATGTCCCTTGGAGCGCTCTTTACGGAAATCATATACCTCCTTTGGAGACAGAACTCAGTCCTAGACAAAATGACGCTATTGTCTTGCGTAAAAACATACGCGCAACTTGTGATTGAAACCAGCTCTGCAAACACCGCCATCACAGCGTACGAAAGGTTTCGAGCAATTGTTTTCACTCCATTCATGGCAAATGTTCTCTGTTTGGAAGCTATTCGCCTCGAAGTTTCAATTATCGATTTCAGGTAAGTCGTAAGGGATAATAAGTCATTTATTGCATCAATAGGAAGCTAAAGTGAGTCTATATGCCTCAATATACATAATATAGCCCAACATATTGTCAAAAATGTGTGAAATTGTGCATGTCACATAAACTTAGTTGTAGGGCTAAGATCGCATGAGTGAGTGAGTTTGGGTTTTACGCCATTTTAGCAATACTCCAGCAATATCACGGCGAGGGACACCAGAAATGGGCTTCATTGTACCCATGCGGGGAATCGAACCCGGGTCTTCTGTGTGACGAGCGAACGCTTTAACCAGTAGGCTATCCCACAGCCCCTTTATAGAACGGAACCCTGACCGAGGTCGAGGCTGTTTGGTAGCCGAAATGTTGTAGATAAAACGTTAACTCGTCATGAAGGACCAAAGGGATACTGGTAACCAACGATACGATTCACAACGGGGCAACAGTCCCACCACCACGACATTGTCCCTTCCACCCAGCTCTTTCTGCAATGCGAAAGCCCTAAATGAAGCAAGTCTAGAAGCCCCAATGCAGATGTTATAAGTGCCTGCATCTCCCATTTCACTCGGGCTCCTCTTCAGTTTATATGAACTTATACATAGGCGGATCCAGGAATTGGATGGGGTGGGGTGTGTGGTTATGTGATTATGGGGTGTTTTTTTTTTAGGTTTTGGGGTTTAAACCCCTGACCCCCGCCCCTCTAGCTCCGCCAATGCGGGTTGGGTTTCGACCCCCCCTGAACCCCTATTCTACAATTGTGAGACAAAGGTGTGATGTTCAAATTCATTCTCCCATATAAAACCAAGATGTTTAACTTTGGTGTATCACGTTTGTGTGTATAAATTTAAAGGAGGATACCGATTTCAAAACATTATTGCACCTTCCAAATCATTCGTGGCCCATTCGTGATATTCCGGGACAAGTTACGGCAAGGGGCGAGTGGTGACGAAAGCTTCCAAACGTGCATGTTTTTCAGGTTGCAATCATTTTCACTGATGGCGGTTCTCACAAGAAGTTTGAAACGTTCTCCACTGCCCTGGATCTCCATCATAACAACGTCACCGTGTTTGTTGTGGGTATCGGCGGGGAGGTTGACCTTTACGAGCAGATGATACTGGCCTCTGACCCGGATGCAGAACATATGCTGAACGTCGGGGATTACCATAACCTGATTAAGTACCTGGACTATCTGCTGGCTGTCAGATGTAGAGGTGAGTGAGTGAGTGAGTGAGTGAGTGAGTGAGTGAGTGAGTGAGTGAGTGAGTGAGTGAGTGAGTGAGTGAGTGAGTGAGTGAGTGAGTGAGTGAGTGAGTGAGTGAGTGAGTGAGTGAGTGAGTGAGTGAGTGAGTGAGTGAGTGAGTGAGTGAGTGAGTGAGTGAGTGATCAGCACATTTCCAAGTTAAACCAAAGCGTGTCATCTCGATGGGGGAACAACATCGATATTCACCATTGCAGCTACAACACCAGCTACAACTACGCCAACGACAACTGCGCCTACTACAACCACTCCCACAACGTCAAAAGCTACCCATACGCCAAGGCCTACGTCCAAGTCTACCCATACGCCAAGGCCTACGTCCAAGTCTACCCATACTCCTAGGCCTACGTCAAAGGCTACCCATACTCCAAGGCCTACGTCTACGTCTACTGCTAAGACGTCGCCTATGCCGTCAACCATCTGCCCAACGTTCCCGCCACTAACAACAAAACAACCTCCCAAGATCCTGAACAACGTCCTCGTTTCCCTTGGTAAGAAGACCCTTAGAACATATTCTAAGAACATATGCTGAGAGCAGGTACTCAGATTATTAAGTAAGACCAGGGCCCACTTACTCAAAGTAATCTTAGCCCTTCTTCCACATTCAAACATAGGCATAAGCTCGTCGTAGCGGTAAGAACGCTTTGTGCAGGAGGGCCAAGGTATTCAGATCATGTACAAACAGCAGACTCTAAGAACACATACTAAGAGCATCAGCAAAGTCCAAATATGAACAACAAACATTTAGAGCATATACTAAGGGTTTACAATACAGGCATACACTAACAGATCATACTAACCGCACCATCTAACAAATACTTTGTGCATTCATTAAGTGCACACTCTGTGGGTAAACCCTGTTCTGAATCTCTCTAATGTCTTCAAAGGATGCAGTGGAAAGAATGATGTCGTGCTGCTGGTGGACAACTCGCACTCCGTCCAGGACGAGGACGCGCACCACTTCGAAATGTTTGCCAGAGTGTTGTCAGCCACCTTAGATATTAGCCCGGATAAGACCCGGATGGGCTACACGTATTTTGGTCAAAATATCTCGGACCTTATCAATTTGAACCTTGGTGGTAACCAGAAATATCTCTACTATCGTCTTGCTTACGCAGAAGCGAGATATGGTACTTCAGGTGGGAAAGCATATCTGGGGGCAGGACTTCGACACATCGACAGAGTCGCGTTTTCGCCAAGAAACGAAAGGCAAGGCGCAAAGAAGTACCTTGTGATACTGACGAAAGATGACTTACATGACATGCAGACTGCATTGTCAGAAGCTACTGCATTGAAGAACAGAGGAGTGGAGATAATCTTCATTGGAATTGGGGATTTTAAAGGTTTGACTGGAGACCTGGAAAAGATAGTGACGAGTCCACACAAATCTCACATGATAATTGACGATTCCGTTGACGACCTTCAATATTCCCTGGAGGATATCTTCGTGAGTCGTTGCCGAGGTGAGTGAGAGAGTAAACGATAAGACGCCATAACCTAACCATGAATATCACCCACAGGTTCATCAATGTATATAGTTAGTAATTCTCTCTGAGCATTGTAATTTGTTGCGTTATATGAAAGATTTCTGGCAATATTTCGAACTGAATGATCTTGGTTTGTAAAATCTGAAGTAAACGTATTTTCTGCAGCCGTCTTTAGAAGAAAATACTTTTTTGTATAAAACCTCCAATACAGAATATCAGAAGTTCTGTCAATAACTTTAACATTGCAGTCTCTACATGACGTAGTGTATCCCAATTCCAGGTCTTACACCAACCGTGGCTCCAGATCCATGTGGCGGGCCCAAGCTTCTCAACTACCTTGGTAAACAGTAGTGTTCGAGTAGAGGTTACCTGAAACGCAGAGGAACGTTAACCTTGAGATACCAACTGACACACGACACCACTCACAAGGATTTGGGGGTGGCGGGACAACTTAGTGGATAAAGCGTTCGCTCGTTACGCCGAAGACCTGGGTTCGATTCCCCTAATGGGTACAATGTGTGAAGCCACTTTCTGGTGTTCCCCGCCGTGATATTGCTGGAATATTGCTAAAAGCGGCGTAAAACTATACTCACTCACTCACTCACAAGAAGCGAAAGAACACCCGATTTCCATATGCCATTTAGCTTCTTTAAGTAGCGTGAACTACGCATATTACGACCTGGCGGATATATCGAACTGTTTTTCCTGGCCATTTGCTGTATATACTCATGGAAACGAATAGGGGAAAACACATGACTGACTGACTGAGTTTGGTTTTACGCCGCTTTTAGCAATATTCCAGCAACATCACGGCGGGGGACACCAGAAATGGGCTTCACACATTGTGCCCACGTGGGGATTCGAACCCGGGTCTTCGGCGTGACGAGCCAACGCTTTAACCACTAGGCTACTTTCATGAAAGTACAAGTCTTCCTTTACTCTTTTCCAGGTTTCTTCACAAGGTATGCATTGCACTGTGAGTGAAATTCTGGAAATAAATATAGGAACACTTGTACTTCCATGTGGTCTCTTATTCGTTTCTATGAGTATATTTTAGTCGAATTGCGTACAACAAACTACGGTTAAGATGAACTAAACGTTGTACTTCCCTTGAGTTGTAGCGGCATAGTATACTTATTTACGCTTCGAAAAAGTAGGGGAACTTCGTTTTAAAGGTACGATATATCGGAGTCAATCCATGTTGATACGATAATAATTAATGTTTTGAAAGTGCATCACCACTTGCACTTCCTTACGTCCATATTTGTTTGTATAATAATCGCTTTGAAAGATGATTGGTGTATGAGGTGAGGTGAGGTGAAATTGAGTTTAACGTCGTGCTTGAGAATATTTCGCTCATACGACGACATGCATGCGTGTGTATGTGTATGTGCGGCTGCTTGTACTAGCCCAGACTGAAGCTGGTTTTATAGTGCTAGCCCACTGAGGTACCATGCCGCAGTGAAGCATGAATACCCCACTCAGACACTTTATACTGACTCCGAGCCGACCAGTCCTTGTTGTACCCATTAATGCCGAGCGCCAGACAGGGACCAACAAGTACCATATTTTAACGTCTTTTGGTATGACGCGGTCGGGGATCGAACCGCGACCTTCCGCTCTCCGGGCGGACGATCTAACCACTACACCAGGGAGGCGGTCGATTGGTGTATGACGTGACATTTGCATGTGTGAGATTTTCAGTTTCAAACAAAAAACAGGCTAGAACCAAACACCAACAACTGTGATGCAAGATGGTTGTCAACAGTAATGGTCCACAGTGATTTATCGACCTTCTTGAAAATCGTCAAAATCAAGAATGACACTCCATGCACGTGTATGGGGCTACTGCGTTGTGCACGTGCATCATATGCGTTGTGTTGCGTTCATAACATGTCGGGCCGGTGGGGTAGCCTAGTGGTTAAAGCGTTGGCTCGTCACGCCGAAGACCCGGGTTCGAATCCCCACATGGGTACAATGTGTGAAGCCCATTTCTGGTGTCCCCCGCCGTGATGTTGCTGGAATATTGCTAAAAGCGGCGTAAAACCAAACTCAGTCAGTCAGTCAGTCATAACATGTCTGTCGTTGAAAGGTTTGTTAACACTTATACTTCCTATCCACGTTCAGGTTCCCCTACTTCTTCTGAAGAGTATATATGGTGTTATATTCAGTTACAGCGGCCATCGTTCACATCTACAATATCATGGTACTTCACTGTATATAAAATAAAATAGATATTGTATTCATGCATGACAAGAGAATGTGTCAATATTATATGTCTGGAACTTAATACAAAAACTTATCTCGCCTTTTCAAAATAATAAAAACAGATGAATACACAATTTAGAAAGTGGTCAAATGTAACAAATAATTATTTCTCAGTAAAGTACAGATTCTAGTACACACCCTCAGTCAGGCACCTGATCGCCAGCACACAAAGTCAGCCGCCTAACCAACTCGGTCACCGCTAGTGGAAGATAATGGCTGAGTTGGTCAGGCAGCCGACTTTGGACCCAGCACAACCAAAGTACAAGAATCTGTACTTTCCCGAAAAAGAGTAATCTCAAAAATAACAATTTTAAAAGTACGGATATTGCAAACTTCAGACAGGACAGTGTCAGTGTTTGTCCATGACAGCGCTTCTTGTGAGTGTCTTTGTTCAAAGGTTGTGGAGCCAAAGAGGACATCGTACTGATCCTAGACCATTCCAGCAGTATCAGTGTTTCTGACTGGAAGAAGATGGTGGAGTTTACTCACAAGTTGGTGGACAACTTCAACGTGTCCCACGACGCATCAGACATCGGCGTGATGACCTTCAACGACCAGCTAACGGATATCGTCCACCTCCACGCCTTCAGGAACAAAGCCAGTCTATTGCATACTATAGATACAAGGTTAAATATGGTTCACGTAACTGGAAACACTTTCACCCATCTGGCTTTGAACCAAACTCTCCACTGGTTTCGTGGCGACCGGAGACATGACGCTGTAAAGGTAAATAATGGTCAAGGGTCATTTTACAAACCTATCTTAGCACAGGATTACTTATACGTAAGTTTAGCTGTAGGGATAAGACCGTCTCGTGGAAAGAGTGAGTGAGTATGGTTTTACGCCGCTTGTAGCAATAATCCAGCAATATCATGGCGAGGGATACCAGAAATTGTACACCTTGTACCCGTGTGGGGAATCGAACCCGGGTCTACGGTGTGACGAGCGAGCGCGAATGCTGTAGGTAAAACGTTAAGTCGCCACGAAGACCCAAAGGAATGCTGGTAACCAACGCCCAGTTTTACAATGGGGTACAGTCCCACAGTTCCACAGGTACATTACTGAGGTGCAAAATGTTCTCTCAGGTGAATCTCTCTCTCTCTCTCTCTCTCTCTCTCTCTCTCTCTCTCTCTCTCTCTCTATATATATATATATATATATATCTCTCTCTCTCTCTCTCTCTCTCTCTCTATATATATATATATATCTATATATACACACACACACACACACACACACACACACACACACACACACACACATATTGTCTTTGTGAATCGAGTGGTGACGAAAGCTTCCAAATATGTATGTTTTTTCAGGTTGCAATCATCTTCACTGATGGCGGTTCTAACAGGAAGTTTGAAACGTTCTCCACTGCCCTGGATCTCCATCATAACAACGTCACCGTGTTTGTTGTGGGCATCGGCGGGGAGATTGACCTTTACGAGCAGATGATACTGGCCTCTGACCCGGATGCAGAACATATGCTGAACGTGGGGGGTTACCATAACCTGATTACCTACCTCGACTATCTGCTGGCTGTCAGATGTAGAGGTGAGTGAGTGAGTGAGTGAGTGAGTGAGTGAGTGATTTTCCCAGTTAAACCAAAGCGTGTCATCTCGATGGGGGAAAAAATGGCTGACTCAGTAAGGTTTTACGCCGTTTGTAGCAATATTCTAGCAATACAACGGTGTAGAACGCCAGAAATGGGCTTCACTGGTGTTCGAGCAAACGCTTTAATCATTTGGCTGCCCCACCACCCAGAAATGGCCATAGTGATGCTGTCTTACCAAATAAAGTGTTTGAAGTGACAGCTGAAAAGCTTTCTGTAACCCTTAAAGAATATCTACAACCCCTTTCCCAAATGAATGAATGAATGAATGAATGAATGAATGACAATGAGGATGTCGATGAAGTGATCTTGTGATCTGTATCTGTTAAAGTTTAGAAATATTCGAACGATACGGGAACACGCTATTTGGCATGCAAAGTTGCGTCCCTCAGACGTACAGGAAACATGTGACCGTGGCGCCTGATTGTGATGTTAGGTTTGTCAGCACCCAAGCAGGTTCTGCATTTCGTACGAGGCGACTAAGTGGATGGTGTGTTAGGGCTCTCTAATCACTAATTTGTCTGGTCAGACCCATCGTAACCTTATACTTTATCGTAGAGTTACGAATGGCGTAGTGTTACGAACACTACATGCTCATGCACCTGGAATGGTAGTGCATTGAACAACAGGAAATAAACAACTTAATTTGCATGTCACGACTTTGAATTTATTGTCAGATATGGCCATGTCTTCAACAACTGTCAGTCCATCCACAACTATCAAACGACACTGACGAATTATCAAGATAGCTTTGAAGATCAGTGACCTACTGTGAAATGGCATGACTTGAATAAAAACATTCCTTGGAATCAATGCCTTCTGTGTCGGAATTCTGGCCAGATGAAACATGTTTTGTCTCCCGAGGTGACTCGATCGGAAGCCTCACACAAAGTAAATAATGGAAATATAATTACGAAAGAAACTAAACAAATATTGTATAAAAATAATTTATTGGGAATATCACATGAGTGAGAATGTGGAACCTAATGACAAATCATGTTCTGTGTTTCGAACCAAACTTTACTGCCTGGTTACACTCATTACATTCCTAAATGTCGGAGATATATCGGTATTCTTTCTAATTTTGCGTCAAACTACCATTCAATTTTGTGGGTTTCTGAACAAGATGATTGTATTGTATGTTTTCCAAAATAACAGATTTTCCAGTTTTGATGAGCTTCTAGAGAATATTCACATACATCCTATCAGACCGATATCATTTCCTCTTACCATTTACTTCGAATCCTATTTGTAACACAAGACATTTCGTAGAGGGTAATGTCCGAGTAACTCTCCATTTCTTAAAAATAATGGAGCCGAGGCCCCGGAGGGGCCGAGGCACATTATTTTTAAGGAATGGAGAGTTACGAGGATATTACCCTACTTAAATTACATTCAAAGTATTGGGAATATGTCTGTTATCAAAATTAAATCTCAAAATGACAAAATGAAGGTTTCATTTTGAAACTGGGACACATCGCTCCATTCCTGAAAAGTAATGGAGCGAACAGACAATGGAATGACGTCACAAATGTACTAGTAATTTAATACTCTTTAATCACGGGGCGGGTTCCAGACAGGTGTCAATTTGGGGCCATTTGATTGGCCATTTTCAAAATCATAGTCCAACACTCCAGCCAATCGCATCGCTTCCTCTGTTTGGGCTACTTCCGGCATGTTATCGATGCAGTCCATGGGTTTCCCACTGTGTGACGGTTCTCTTAAACTTTGCACAATTTCGAGAGATTGTGATGGCCAGTGGTTGGTCATCAACATGTCACTGTATGCCCTCCGCTTCAGTGCTATGTCCCTTGGGGCTGCCCAGATGGCAGGTGTCATGGAAACGAAAACTACGAAGCGCCACCTATCTGCATTTGGTCTGTTGGCCACTGGTGGGACGTTGTCATGGATAAGTCTAGAGTCCCACAACACCATGCCTCCTTTTGGAACTGCCACTTTTACTTCTTTACACTTCTTTTTTCTGAACCAACTAACCTGGTTCGTGGTTAATTTGTAGAATTCACTCTTTAGGCTTTTTGCTCGAGCTGGCTTGTAATGATCAAAGAAAGAATTGTGATATTTGTGCGAATCCTTCAGAGCCCGGAAACAAAAGTCATTTTCTGTAGATTCTTCTAAATATAGCGCCCCCTGGTAACAGTGGAGGCCCTCGCGTGACGCCTTCTGATCTATGTGGAACCAGTTCTGACCATTATCAAACACCTTGTCAGTTTCTTCCGGAGGACGTGAGATAGCCACGCTATCAAAGCTGGTTAACAACTTGTCTGTCTTCCACAAAGAAGAAAACACTGGTTTCACCTTTAACCTAGCAGACCACGTGGCACCAAAGTGACCAATCCGATATTGATATATTATAGAGCGTCGGTGGTTTGGCCAATCGTGGTCTTCAAATGTGTCAAGCCAGCTTTTGTATTGGCTGATAAGTTCATCACAGTCTGTGTGACTGACGACGTCATTGATGACGCAGTAACCATTGTTTTCAAGTTCGCTTCTGCATACTTGACTGAAAAGGAGAGAAAAAATAGAATTATATTTCAGTGAGTGAGTGCGTGAGTTAAGTTTTACACAATATTCCAGCAATATCACGGCGGGAGACATCAGAAATGTGCTTCACACATTGTACCCATGTGGGGAATCTAACCCGCCCCTTCGGCGTGACGAACAAACGCCTTACAAACGGTAACAACCTCAATAACAACATAACACTTTGAATCACAAATACAGAAACTATTGCTTAATTAGCATATTGAGAAGAGCACCTTTTGAAAATGAAGATTGGATTCCCACACAGATTTCAGTGATTGAATGAATATGACTTTACACAGTTTCAGATAAACTACGTCAGCCTGTAAATAAAAATTAAACTACCCCTATTTAGTGATAATAGCTTGTATATATTCAGTCTGTGATTGTAAGACCTTCTAGTTGCACCTGCCTTTACCGTTAAAACATATACTGGATACATAAATGAGATTAAAGCTGACGTATAGTCTCTAGTATAAAAAGTATCCCTAATCCAAAACCGATCCTGGAGTAAGTCTACCAATCACATCACTGTACACGTGTAATTCTGCCCAGTGCAGATACAAATGATCAATTGAACAATTAATACAAGAATCAATGCAACAGTTAAACTTGAAAAGTTCGATTCGAAATCAAAGTGTAGATGTTTTTCAATTCCACTACAACACGGGCTCGTTATGACTTGAATTGTCAGCGTGTAACGAACATGAGTGTTCTTGTAAGTCCTACAAAGTTAAGCCACAGTGTAAGTATGTTAACATCAGCTTGTCCTCTGTGAATATTTTACCTTATAGCCCCCGAAGGGGCAGCTGCCATTGCCATGTTCTGGTGAGATAATGCTGAGGTCGTTATGACTGTTATTTACCGTCAATGATTATAACTGTCATCCTTTGGGTCTTATATACCTTCCCTTTCAATGCATTGTGGGTTTCTTTTTAGCATGCTAAGTTTGATATACATTCTTATTCTTTGCATAAAAGCGCCGTGCCCCAACACAGCATATGCAAAACTTGGGGTATTGCAACACAGGCTGAAACGTACTCGAGCAGCTAAGATCTATTTATAGGTAAAGGGTAATCGATCGATAGCCGATATGTCGTAAGTTTCCTTGTGTGTGGTCCAGGTATATTGTTAGAACAGTGAGTGAGTAAGTTTAGTTTTTTACGCCACACTCTTACGCCGCACTCAGCAATAGTCAGCAAACAGTGCTATGAAAACCAACACGATAGAGACGCCATGCATGTTCCTCAGAATTCCCATTCCTCTGACTTCCCGGATATATTAACAGGTAACATGGAGTTGTCTCCCTTTGTACATTCAGTAATCGACTCCAGAAGGAGGGAGTGTGTTTAGTTTTACGCCGCTTTTGGCAATATTCCAGAAATAGCACGGCGGGGGACACCAGAAATGGACTTTACACGGTGAACCCATGTGGGGAATCAAACCCGCTTCAACCACAGTGCTACCCCACCGCCCCAATCGACTCCAGAGTCCAGTTTTCGGATAATGATTTTACTTCATAATTGTTGTTTGTGTAAAAATATTTTGAAGCATAGTTTTAATAAACCTATGAAAATGATGTAGTGATTGGGCATTTTCCCCATTTTTCTGGAGTATTTGTTTTACAGGAGTGAATAAATATAATTTGTTACTGGATGTGCGTGTGGGATTTTAAATGTATTACGTAAGTGAATAAGATTCAATGAAAATATATCTTTCGGTTAAGAGCTGTACACCGGTCTATGACAGTAATGTAACCAAAAACGAAATGGTCTCTCGGATCAACCGTATCTCCAGAATTATGATTTCTGTGAATGTCAGCCAGGAGATGTAGAGGATTGCCTTTCGAGGTGATGTATTTCATACGGGAATCATGACTATGTTTTGGACATTGTCTTTCAGTGACTGTTTTCAGTCTTTTAACATTTGGATGACGTTTGTAATTTTGAAACCCAATTTTTAAATGTATACTTTTTTTAAAGAGTAGTACATGTTTATAAGAACCCCGAATAATGCAACTTACTGATGCCTGACATGTCAGTAGTGATCTGCTCAGCTGCGTATGGACCGACGCTGTGGTTTACATACACACCTCGGGCTAACACAGCTTGTCAAGTAAAGTGAAGTGTGTGTGACTGTGTCTCTGTGTGGGTATGTGTGCGTGGGTGCGTGTGTGTTTATACGTGTGTGTGCATGCGGTGTATGTATGTTTATTGTTTAACGCCACACTCAGCAATAGTTCAGCTTGTGGCGGATGAAGAGCGCGTGTTTTGGGTGCATGTGGTGTCTGATATATTGTGTAGTCCGCCATTCAGTATGTCAAAATGAACCATCTCGTACTACCTATCAATTGCCAGCATGTGAAACTCCGCCGTTCATAGTAAAGTTCGCATAACCAGGTATGTTCAACATCTTTATCTAGCTGCGCAATAGCCTCTGATGAGTGAGTGAGTGAGTAGGGTTTTCCGCCGCTTTTCAAACCGAAACATAAGTCTCATTGAAGGTCACATGCAACGTAAAACACAACTTTGCAGATTCTGATAGCTTTCGGTATGGACTTACAGATACAAATCATGGATGAACCCCACCCCCACCCCCCGCGAACGAGTTCAAACGATTCACTAAATTCACCCAAGCGCTTGAGGTGAAAAGTGGTTTGAACAGCTGGGCTGCGCTGCGCTGGGCTGCGCTCATAGCGCATGCGCAGTGAATTAGGTTCGCGCAGCTTGGAAGCGGGATGTCCGGATTTAATATAAGTGAGTGAGCAGGAGTAGTCTAATCAAAACAAATAGTAAATAATCTACTCATTACATAAAAGAACCTTGTTAGGATCTAGATCTACTCAGCTTTGTGTCAACCAGTGAGGCGTTCGACATTTCAAGACGGATAACCTTCGCTTGCGGTGAAGGCTTTGATGTGAGCTATTTTTCTAATGTTTTGTTGATATTTCACAGGCGCGAGCCTTTTATGTTATGACAGTAGATTATTGTTTGACTGTTTATATGATTTCATTTGTCTATTTCACCACACGTTCTTCTTACCGAGTCACTTTCTCAGTTCGATACTTAAAAGCAATGTCATTATTTAGCGTTGACAGAATTTCTAACTGTGATATAGATATGTCGTTGTCACAGACAAAACTCAACGTCTTATTTATTGACACCTGTGTGTCTGCCTGCCTGTCTGCTAATGACAATATTCAATACACAACTTCGATCACTGACCACATGCAATTTGAACTTAACACCTATCAGGCTATACACCATAAACAAAACGCATTGATTTATGGCCCGAGTTCGGTCTCTGTCACATTATGTAATTACACAGACAGGCAAGTGTGATACTTGTACACATGACATGTTATGATGTCTGTTGATTGCAAAATGTATTTACAAAAAACAACATCTCTATATATACACACACACACACAATGAGCCGTGAGTGCATCTGCTAATGAACCAGCCAATGAAATCCTCGTTACACTTGAATGCACACCCACCCGCTCTGCCTGGGTTCGGTATCCCGGGTGCTTCGTTTCGAGTGAAGTGAACCCAAGTACACAATATTGCACTTTTGATTTGCGATTGTACGCTTATAATTTTGTTTATATGTTTTTTCATAATCAGCAATGTATATTATATGTCATGAATAAGTGATAATTGTGTTTTAATTATATTTGATTTTTTGGTTGCATGTGACATATTCAGACAATGACCTACTTTTCAGTCGATCCGAATTTCCACGTGTGAAAGTGAAACGATATACCACAAACAACTATGGTTACACTGAATTCTAATTCCTTGTTTCATAAGAATTCCGGATTATTCTACGGTAGACAATATTTTTGTCCTACAGTCGTTGTGCAGCAAATATCTTTGTAAAAAAGGGGGTAGATTTTACGTGGCATTCGTCGATTTTAGAAAAGCCTTTGATTACATTATTAGGAAAAAATGCTATATATGTTAGTTACAAAAGCTTGTCATTGTAAAATGTATACAATATTGAAGAGTATGTTTTCATCAGTTAAAGCTTGTATAAAATCTGAAGAGGGCATCACACAACAGTTTGAAACTTCACGTGGTGTTCGCCAAGGTTGTGTCTTAAGCCCTGTGCTATTCATATTTTTTATAAATGAACTTGTAATTGATATTATAATAAATGTGATCATGGAATATTTATAAGCCAAACTATTGAAGATATAATGATGCTATTGTTTGCAGATGATGTTACAATGTTTTCATTTACAGTAGCAGGTTTACAGAGATAACTGAATGTACTAGATGGTGTTTGTAGAAAATGGAGTCTTTAGGTGAATACAGAAGAAAAAAATAAATAGTATTTAGGTATATTGCGGAGAAATGAGAAATGATACTTTGGTGATAAACAGCTAAAAAGTGTTATTTACTATAAGTACATATAGGTACATAGGGTTAATATTCTCCTCAAGGCTCTTATGGTCAAACGCTTGTAAGACTCTTGCTGCACAGCCATCTAAAGCAATGTTCCCTGTATTTCATTTATTTAGTAAGAATAGATTTGTCTCATTTACTACAGCCTGCGAAATATTTGATACGAAAATTGCTCCTGTTTTATTATACGCAAGTGAAATTTGGGGCAGTAATTATCATCATGAAATAGAGCAAGTGCAAACTACATACTTTAAACGGTATTTAAGGGTGGGAAAGTTTGCATCCAACAAGGCTATACTTGGTGAGACTAGTAGGTATGATATGTTTATATTAACTAAAATACAATGCATTAAAGGTCACATGCAACCAAAAAATCAAACATAATTAAAACACATTTATCACTTCTTCATGACATATAATATGCATTGCTGATTATGAAAAAACAAATAAACAAAATTATAAGCGTATAATCGCAAATCAAAAGTGCAATATTTTGTACTTGGGTTTACCTCCCTCGAAACGAAGCAGCCGGGATACCGAACCCAGTCAGAGCGGGTGGGTGTGCACTCAAGTGTAACGGCTGGTTCTTTAGCAGATGCCGCCTTCACGGGTCATTGTGTGTGTATATATAGAAAGTTGGGTTTTGTAAATACATGCTCATTTTTTGTGTATAACATTTTGCAATCAACAGACATCATAACATGTCATGTGTTCAAGTATCACACCTGCCTGTCTGTGTAATTACATAATGTGACAGAGACCGAACTCGGGCCATAAATCAATGCGTTTTGTTTATGGTGTATAGCCTGATTGGTGTTAAGTTCAAATTGCATGTGGTCAGTGATCGAAGTTGTGTATTGAATATTGTCATTAGCAGACAGGCAGGCAGACACACAGGTGTCAATAAAACAAGACATTGAGTTTTGTCTGTGACAGCGACATATCTATATCACAGTTAGAAATCGTGTCAACTCTAAATAATGACATTGCTTTTAAGTATCGAACTGAGAAAGTGACTCGGTAAGAAGAACGTGTGGTGAAATAGACAAATGAAATTATATAAACAGTTTATTTACTGTCATAACATACAAAAAGCTCGCGCCTGTGAGATATCAACAAAACATTATGAAACTAGCTCACACCAAAGCCTTCACAGAGTATTCACCAGACAGCCCGCTTCCAAGTTGCGCGAACCTATTTCACTGCGCACGTGCTATGAGCGCAGCCAGCTGTTGAAACCCGTATTCCCCAGAAAAGTCTGGGGAAAATTAGTGAAACGTTTGAACTCCGATTTCGCGCGTTTTTTTTCATCGCGTTATTTTTCAACTTTATAAGTTGAATTTGCATTTTTGACGCTTTGTTTCGGTAAGTCCATACCGAAAGGTATTAGAATCTGCAAAGTTGTGTTTTACGTTGCATGTGACCTTTAAGTATTGGATTAAGTTGTTGCAAATGAAATTTAAATCGTTATCCATATCAATGTTATGTATTACTTAAAAATTTAGATGAAAATGGAAAATGTAATTGGGTGTCAAACATTAGAACAATCTTGTTTAGAACAGGTTTCTTATTTGTGTGGATATTACAAAATGTTGGTGATGCAAATATGTTTACACTAAAATTTAGAGAAAGATTAATTGACATGTACAAACAAACCTGGCATGATACTATTTGTGACTCGCACTATTTAACGCAATACTGTAAGCTGAAAGCAGTTTTGGAGCCTGAATGTTATATTTTACAACTGAATGATAAGTCTCTTCTAAGAGCAGTTTGTAAATTTAGAATATCCCTACATAATTTTAGAACTGTTACTTACAGGAGAAATAAAGACAGTGGTATAACTAGTTGTATCTGTAAAAATTGTAATCTTGGAGCGATTGAAGATGAATACCATGTTTTTATGCAATGTACAAAATATAATGAAATTCGGCAAAAGTACTTGCCACAGCTGAATGCTATGCCTCAGTGTGAACAAAGCATAATAAATGTATTAATAATTGTTTAAATATTATACCTGAAATATCACGTGGCATTGTAAAATATTGTATCTTTCAATTGTATTATAGGCCGTTAGGCCCACATTACTGAATAAATATGTCTGTCTGTCTGTCTGAATGGCATAGTGCTACGAACTCAGTGGTGCTGAGTGCAGCGATAAACAGGAATAAAACAACTTAATTTGCATGTCACAACTTTGAATTTCTTGTCAACAACTGTCAATCCATCCACAGCTATCAAACGACACTGACGAATTATCAAGATGCCTTTGAAGACTAGTGACCTACTGTGAAATGGCATGACTTGAATAAATACATTCCTTGGAATCAATGCCTTCTGTGTCGGAATTCTGGCCAGATGAAACATGTTTTGTCTCCCGAGGTGACTCGATCGGAAGCCACACACAAAGTAAATAATTAAAACATAATTACGAAAGAAACTAAACAAATAATGTAAAAATAATTTATTGGGAATATCACATGAGTGAGAATGTGGAACCTAATGACAAATCATGTTCTGTGTTTCGAACCAAACTTTACTGCCTGGTTACACTCATTACATTCCTAAATGTCGGAGATATATCGGTATTATTTCTAATTTTGCGTCAAACTACCATTCAATTTTGTGGGTTTCTGAACAAGATGATTGTATTGTATGTTTTCCAAAATAACAGATTTTCCAGTTTTGATGAGCTTCTAGAGAATATTCACATACATCCTATCAGACTGATATCATTTCCTCTTACCATTTACTTCCAATCCTATTTGTAACACAAGACATTTCTACTCTTTAATCACGGGGCGGGTTCCAGACAGGTGTCAATTTGGGGCCATTTGATTTTCCATTTTCAAAATCATAGTCCAACACTCCAGCCAATCGCATCGCTTCCTCTGTTTGGGCTACTTCCGGCATGTTATCGATGCAGTCCATGGGTTTCCCACTGTGTGACGGTTCTCTTAAACTTTGCACAATTTCGAGAGATTGTGATGGCCAGTGGTTGGTCATCAACATGTCACTGTATGCCCTCCGCTTCAGTGCTATGTCCCTTGGGGCTGCCCAGATGGCAGGTGTCATGGAAACGAAAACTACGAAGCGCCACCTATCTGCATTTGGTCTGTTGGCCACTGGTGGGACGTTGTCATGGATAAGTCTAGAGTCCCACAACACCATGCCTCCTTTTGGAACTGCCACTTTTACTTCTTTGCACTTCTTTTTTCTGAACCAACTAACCTGGTTCGTGGTTAATTTGTAGAATTCACTCTTTAGGCTTTTTGCTCGAGCTGGCTTGTAATGATCAAAGAAAGAATTGTGATATTTGTGCGAATCCTTCAGAGCCCGGAAACAAAAGTCATTTTCTGTAGATTCTTCTAAATATAGCGCCCCCTGGTAACAGTGGAGGCCCTCGCGTGACGCCTTCTGATCTATGTGGAACCAGTTCTGACCATTATCAAACACCTTGTCAGTTTCTTCCGGAGGACGTGAGATAGCCACGCTATCAAAGCTGGTTAACAACTTGTCTGTCTTCCACAAAGAAGAAAACACTGGTTTCACCTTTAACCTAGCAGACCACGTGGCACCAAAGTGACCAATCCGATATTGATATATTATAGAGCGTCGGTGGTTTGGCCAATCGTGGTCTTCAAATGTGTTCAGCCAGCTTTTGTATTGGCTGATAAGTTCATCACAGTCTGTGTGACTGACGACGTCATTGATGACGCAGTAACCATTGTTTTCAAGTTCGCTTCTGCATACTTGACTGAAAAATAGAATTATATTTTAGTGAGTGAGTGCGTGAGATTTACACAATATTCCAGCAATATCACGGCGGGGGACACCAGAAATGTGCTTCACACATTGTACCCATGTGGGGAATCTAACCCGCCCCTTCGGCATGACGAACAAGCGCCTTAACCTGTAACAACCTCAATAACAACATAGCACTTTCTGTTACTTTGAACAGAAATACAGAAACTACTGCTTAATTAGCAGACTGAAAAGAACTCCTTTTTGAAAATGAAGACTGGATTCCCACACAGATTTCAGTGATTGAATGAATATTATTTTACACAGTTTCAGATAAACTACGTCAGCCTGTAAATAAATATTAAAGTACCCCTATTTAGTGATAATAGCTTGTATATATTCAGCCTGGGACTGAAATGACCTTCTAGTTGCACCTGCCTTTACCGATAAAACCTATACTGGATACATAAATGAGATTAAAGCTGACATGTAGTCTCTAGTATAAAAAGTATCCCTAATCCAAAACCATCCTGGAGTAAGTCTACCAATCAAATCACCGTACACGTGTAATTCTGCCCAGTGCAGATACAAATGATCAATCGAATTAATCAATACAAGAATCAATGCAACAGCTGAACTTGAAAAGTTCGACTTGAAATCAAAGTGTAGATGTTTCTCAATTCCACTACAACACGGGTTCGTTATGACTTGAATTGTCAGCGTGTAACGAACATGTGGGAGAGTGTACAAATGTTTTTGTAAGTCCTACAAAGTTAAGCCACAGTGTAAGTATGTTAACATCAGCTTGTCCTCTGTGAATATTTTACCTTATAGCCCCCGAAGGGGCAGCTGCCATTGCCATGTTTCTGGTGAGATAATGCTGAGGCTGTTATGACTGTTATTCACCGTCAATGATTAGTAATGTCGTGTAAATGGTCTTATATACCTTCCCCCTTCAGACCAATTCCGATTGCACAAACGTTTGAAATTGTCACTCCTATCCGCCTAATATATACAGGTTTAGGGACAGGTAGGCGATCTGATGACGCCTGAACATGATTGAATAAAACAGTAGTGGACAATTGATCTCATTGCGGGATTTTTTGTATGATATGTTTCTTATACATGCTTATTCTTTGTATTAAAGCACCGTGCCCCAACTCTGTATATGCAAAACTTGGGGTATTGCAACACAGGCTGAAACGTACTCGAGCAGCGAAGATCTATTTATAGGTGAAGGGTATTCGATCGATAGCCAATATGTCGTAAGTTTCATTGTGTGTGTATGTATTGTTAGCACAGTGAGTTAAAGAGTGAACGTCGTCACATAACGTCTGGCACCCTGAACAGTGTTGTGAAAACCAACACGATACACACTCCATGCATCTTTCTCAGAATTCCCGTGCGTCCGACTTCCCAGGTTCATCAACAGGTAACAAGGAGTTGTCTCCCTTTGTACATTCGCGTCGCCAGCCCGCATATCAGGCCTCGGACCACAATTATTTTCCTTCTTTGCTATCTACAGTGACATGCCAGTACATCATAATTAACATCGGTCGTAGGCTGTTCTCCTGTTGCATGCTGACCAACCTGCCACTTGTCACTTAACCGGCAAAATATGAGCCTGGATCGACCATGTCAATTTTGCTGTATCCACTGTAAACAATGGTCACCGGACGTTACGAGCCGAAACACACCAGACAGCCTTGAACTTGGGGTCAAATCATGGAAGGCTGGTGTCAATACCATGTGTAGATTGTGGACCATTTGCAATAAAGTACAATGTCTTACCTTTCATTTAAGCTATCACAAGTCACCCTGAAAAAATTAGCACACACAGAACAGCACTATATTCTCCTATTTTCCTTTCGGGATAATGATATTGTCGAATTTTACATTCTTTTGAAAACTTATGATAAAAATAAATAAAAATATGAAGATATGAAGATGTTGTAGTGATTGATATATTATCCCAGAGAGTGTGGAATAATTAGACCCGACTTTGTAACATTTTATAAATTGACTATTTTCATTTTTCTGGAGTATTTGTTTTACAGCAGCGTGTATATAACATCTCTTACTAGATGTGAGTGTAAGCTGGGGTTCTAAATGTATTTTGTAGGTGTATAAGATGCTATGGAAAATATGTAAGTTTCGTTGAAACCCTGTACGCCGGTCTATGCTTAATAATGGTTTGATAAAAATGTAATCAAAACGAAATGGATTCTCGCGTCCAGTGTATCTCCAGGACCATCATTTCTGTAAATGATAGCCCCGACATTTGGAGGATGGATTTTCGTGGTGATGTATTTCATATTGGAATCATGGGTGTGTTCTGGACATAGTCTTTCAGTCTATGTAACGTTTTGATGACGTCGTGTAACGTGTTGATGATGTTTGTAATTTTTAAGCGTATACTTTCTTTGACGAGTAGTTTATTTTTATAAGAACCCCTATGGAATGTGTTACAACATGCACATAACTGTAGACTGAGTACCGACACTGTAGTGTACATGCATATCCCGCTCTCTCTCTCTCTCTCTCTCTCTCTCTCTCTCTCTCTCTCTGTCTGTCTGTCTGTCTGTCTGTCTGTCTCTCTCTCTCTCTCTCTCTCTCTGTGTACATCAAAATAATTGTATTGGGTTAAATGATTCTAAAGATATTTAAGGCCTTAATGTGATATACTCCAAAGACTGTAACCCTTGTTGTGTTTAAGAGTTGTGTGTGTACGTATGTGTTGTGTGTGTACGTATGTGTAATCGTTGTGTGTTACGTGTGTGCTGGTGGTGGGCATTAGACTCTAACGAGGACACATCAAATATCTAAACTCCTGCAACAGATACACCTGGCGTGACAGTGAGTGTTGATCAACCCACATTTGACAGTATGAGCAAAGGCCAGCGCCACCAGTGTACTATGGCCACCCAATCCCCATACTGGTCTGCTCGTTTCTTTTCTTTTTATGACGCACCTGTAGTTCAACAGAACCCCAAAAGAGGACAGAGCTTGAGATGCAAGGGACCAAGGACCGCAGGCACCCGCCGGGTGCAGGATGGAACCTGGTGGGGGTTCAGGTGGCGAATCCCCTCTGAAGCCAACGCACAATTGCAAATGCCTTCACTGAAAACGATATATTCACACCTAGTTTGTGATTAAAATGTGGTCAAAATGATGAACCCAGTTTGGCGTGAGATTTATCAGTTTGGTCGTTAGAGCGTGACATGGATAATAAGAGCATGAGTCTCAAGCCAAAGACGTGAGAGTTGGCAAGTACGGTTCAGTGAGGTGATGGCGGTGTATCAACATGTGTGCGATTCATTTTAATGGTGTCATTTCATGAAGCGAACGTAAAATATTTTGTTTCTTGCGTGATGTCCATCCAAGACTGACTGGCCTTTGGCCTTTAAAGGCGTTCCAGCAACTGGGCCCATTTACACCTTGACAATGGACAAGGTTACTAAATATCTGGGATCAAATATGTATCCTAACGTAGTAGAGAATCTGCCACACCCATCGATATAAACAAGAATGACCTCAGGTGAACTACACAGCAAACAATGTTCCTACAAGTCCAGGCAATGAGGGGCCAATATTGTCAGGTTTATTCCATCAGAGCGACACCACCGTTATTTCATGTACGCAGAACATAATGAGCCACCTTTTCAGGCGTTTTGCAAACTTACAACTTAGTTAAATCTCTTAGATGAGATTGTTGACACGTGCACCAAGATCACAATGGTCAACGTCTGAGAGCTGCTCACTCCGGGATGTCCTCCCGCACTAAGCAAATACCCCGTGATGAAACTGACATGCTGTTCAAAGCGGTGTAAAAACAAACTCACCGACTCACATACCGACAAGTCTCTGCCCCATTTCCCACTAAACATGGCGTGACTGGACATTTAAACAATTGTTTTGTATAAAACCCACTGACATGACGGAATCTTGCAAGAGGTACATGGCTGGAAGAAACTACTCATGAACTATTATAAATAATATGTTTTCATACACCAATATCTTGAAATAATGAAAAGCGACAAGTTCACATTGAAAGTAGAATACAAAACTGATCAAATGCCTAAAAATACTGTGTTGTAAAATACATTAATGAATGAAGCGGCTGTAAAATATTGCTATACTTCACAAAAAACACAATCCACTGGTGCTTGGACGATAGGCTGAATGTCTGATGAGCTTGGAAAACAGAAGGGTGAATTGGTATCAATAGATCTGTGCTGCTGCTGCTGCTGCTGATGATGATGTAACTAGTAGTTTTCTTCAGTCGACAGAACACGCTTTATATACATACCCCAACCCTAGCATCTCCTCCTCGGCTCTAAAGCAGCGCCGCCACAGAGCTGGAATATAGCGGCGTAAAACTAAAAAAAACAAAAAAAAAAGCACATTCTCATCCTTTTACGAGTTCATAAGGAGACATAGAACTTTTACCTATTTATTATAGGTTTTGTTTTACCAGAATACCCCCATGTCCTATCAATCCGGCAACCTGGACCAGAAATTAGCTGTGATAGAAGAGATCGTTAAAACTTAGATACAGACTGACATACAATGCCAGTCAAACAATATAAGTTTCCCTGATTGTGTTTATTAAACACCAAACATCGAACATTACTTCATTCGCGAAACTATATTAAAAAAATGGAGGCGTTGTTGGTGGTGATGAATCTGTGGTCATGGCCACGTCGGACGATGCTGGAACCATTTTAGACAAATGAATATATATAAGTTTGATAGAAATAAACAATTCGGTTTAAATTTAAAAGAAACCACAATGAGAAGGTACATTCAGACTGAGGAAATCTGGATTTGCTTCATTTAGGGATTTAGTATTGCAGGGAGAACTGGGTGGAAAGGAATATAATGCAGTTTAAGGACTGACTAGAACCATCTCACTTATACTAAATCTGTAATAAAAGATTCACTGACGAAACGAAAGCAATTAATCGTCCTAAATCACACGTAATCTCGCCACCCTCTCACGAGCGTAGAGATACAGCCTATTTGTGCATGCGAAACATATCAGTGTCATTCCGCGCTAATTAGTTCTGCGTACTTATTAATGGCATGCACGTGCGTGTACGCACTTGGGGGTGAAACGGTTGCGGGAGGGTGGCAGCACCGGGGAGATGGGACCGATAGCGCTCACTTTGACCCTGACGTCAACACGCTGACAGATGGCATCGCGAATGATCTTCAACAATTACATCCAAACCCCGTTAATCCGGACGCTGGTATAGCACAACCGGATAATCTAATATCCGGATAAGCTAATCGTGGTGACAAAGTAGGTTAACTTTGTGTACGTGTATGTGTCCTCGGGAATGATCATCAGTAAGACAGGTGACCAGATTAACGGGGCTTCTCTGTTAGATTTACGCTTAGTCTCTGAATATATATAATTTTGATAGTAACAAATAAAACAATTTAAATTGAAAAGGAGCCCAAGTCAGGTGGGAAATTCAGATAATCTAGACTTGCTTTATTTAGGGTTTTAGCATTGCAGGGAGGGCTAGGCAGTAGGGAAAATAAACTGGTTCAGGGACTGTGAGACGACTAAGACTGGGCAGAAAGGAAGATTACGTCTCTGTATGTCACATTAAAATATCACTGTTTGGATTCCGGGGAAGAACAGGTTACCAGCTCCACGCGTTTCAGATTTGTTTGGTTTGTTTAATCCGTATATTTATCAGTTATATGACAGCTTTCTGTACAAAATAGGATCTGGACAACACAATCCAGTGATTGACAGCTTAAACATCATCATTTGTGTTACAATGACATACATGAACCGTGTCGCTGAGCCCGATCTAGACAAACGCTTAGTCTCTGAATATAAATTTATATATTTTTGGTAGAAACAAATCATTTACAAGTTAAAAGGAGCACCAGTAGGATGGAAATGTAGACTTGCCTCATT